TGATATTTTTCAGCGAAAATCTTCCATCTTCTCAGGGTTGTCGGCTTTTTGTACATACATATTAATTCTTGAAATATGCCCAGTACATAGAGGATAACTTGAATCATATATAGAGCACAAAAATACAAAAAGTGAAGTTTTTGAATTTTGAGTCGAAAAGAGGATCTCCTCTTAATAAGCTTGATGACTCTTTGAAAAACCACCTTGAAAAAAGTGTCCTTTATTCAGGATGCTGATACTTAAAGGATTAAGATACCAAAAGTTGATGATAAAGCAGATGCCCCAATGTATCGTCAGTGAATAGAAATTTGTTCAATGACATTTTTCATGGCCCTTCCTTCAGATTTTTCTTTTCGCCATTTTTTATTTCGACGTTCTTCTTTTCGACAATCTGATTTTCGCCATTTTTACCTTTCAACATTTTCATTTTCGTCATTTTTCTTTCGACATTTTCACTTTCGACATTTTTCTTTTCGGCAATCTGCTTTTCTACGTCCTGTTTTTCGACATTTTGTCTTTCGACGTTTTCTCTTTCGACATTTAACCACCTATTCTATAAATATGAGGAAATTTTGTCGTTCTATTTATATTGATTTTTATCAACATAAGAGAACATTTGTAGAGACATTGGTTTTTCATGACAAACAAATTTGATTAAAACTTTTCCGTTCATTGTGATTCACTGTGACATACATCTACTACCATGCAATGTTTGACCTCCTGTGCCTTTTAGTGTGTACAAGACATTGTCATTTTATTTTCTTCATTTTTTTACACTAAGATAATTTTATCGTCATATAAATAGAATAAAAGAATGTACAACTTTTTATATGCAAAACTTTTAATGTAGTATAAATTTTGAGATGATTTACTGTAACTTATCAGATTTTAACAATGGTTGTTAACTGATGCTCTACAATATTAACGTATAACCTCTTCTCATTTTCTTCTATGATTAAGTCTACTAAAATACAATGCTCACCATAATATTCAGTTTTATTTCGTCTGTAATATATTTAACATAAACACGATACGAGCTGACACTTATGTTCATATGATATGACAACAGGCACATTATTAGGAAAACTACTATCAACAACAGTATAGATAAATTATTTTGTAGGTTTGTCTTTGATAATGGCTGCCTTGAGAATATGCGAGTTCTATCCACGGGCATTTGTTATCGTGTGCAGCATTCTCACATGAAAAGCCTCTATGACCAGAAAACTAGACTTCACATGGGATGAGACAGTCTCATTCTGTCCAATCCTATAGCACATTGAGTAAAAGACTTACATTTCATCTATCCTACGAGATAAACAGTCACTTAGATAAATATTTTTTTGTAAGGCAAGATATCGCTATTTTTGTCATGTAGATGACAATCTTGTCTAATTCAATGGAATTAGCGAAAATAAACTTTTTTTGTTGTTTTCTACAAATGTTTATGCATTGTAGCCATTCGAGCACAGTAAAACGGATAATAATGAATGAATAAATAAACGAAAGACTCAATTCTGTCTATTGTTATAGTTAAGCGCAATGAATTGATTCAGAGCTTAGTAATAAGTGATAAAATGTCTTCTGGGTGTTAGGTGGGTATAAGTATAAGAAAAGAGAATAACAATCCCCACACCCAGAAATGGAAAAAACAATAGGAGAAAACACATTGAAAACAATAATATCTAATATTATTGTCACGTATAATAACCAACAACTCCTATTGCAATTCTATTATGATAATATTGGTTGAAAAGAACCTTTTTACTGTCAATAAATATTAAGAAAAAATTTTCTTAAGCTTGCCTTACAGAAATACAGTATTTCCGCCACTACTTTTGGATTTCTCTAAGTAATATAATATTTTGTATAATTAGTTAAATGGATCAATATATCATGAAATTTCACGTTTTTAGGCTTCTCTTATGTCATATGGGATACAAAAACTTCGAAACATATCCCATTTCATCCTATGCAAAGCCATACTATCAAGTATAAACTTTTAAGAGTACTTTGTATAATAACAAAAAACCTCATGAAATACTAAGCTATTGTATATTCGAAAAAAATAACAAATACGTATAAATTTACTGGAATCGATCAACTTCTTGAAGATGATGTCAAATAAATTAAATATCAACATTTGCATTTTATTAAAGACTTAGTTTCAATAAAAATAATCATTTTAGTCTATTTTACTTCAAAGAGATTAATCAAATCTTTATGTACATACTCAAGGTACCGCCAAAAAGTACCCTATTCTTTATATCTATAACTTCAAATAATAGACTGTAGATTGTTTTGAAATATTTCTTATTATTTATATTTATTTAATTATTTTTAATTCCATAATATAGTAAATTTTCAAATAAAAAAAAACAAACTAAAATAAAATTATTCGTCTTTTAGAAAAAATACATATTAGGTAATAAATCCTACTTTTATTACAGATAAAATGATCAAAGAAAAGAAACTGATGGACATAAGTATTTGTTGTCAAGATAAAAGGCAGCAACAAAAAAAGAAAATAAAAATAAAAGTAGATAAAATGAGCGTACAAATAAAACACAAAGATTTATTTTGATTAATATTTAAGCTGTAAATCTGTACAAAATGATGAACATATGAAGAATATTATCAAAAAAACAAAAGAAGAGATTCGTATGTCTTCATTATTAAAGACATTTTCACTATCAAAGGCAGACTAAGACGAAAACAAGAGTAAAAAAAAACAATAACAACATTGAACTATAATAACGATTTTAACAGGCACAATTTTTTTTGTCTTTATCTTGTGGTGTTGGTGGTTGTCGAACAGGAAATATTGATTTATCTATATAGAAAAGTGCAAAATAAAATATTTATTCAAAATCTTATCATATGTAAATATCTCCTAATCTATTTTATATGCTTCTCATAAACATAATTATTCAATCAACATATGATATTGTTCAACCTTACAAGCTGTAGCATGCATCGATTCGAAATGAAATTCATTTCAATAAAAAGAAAAGAAAAGAAGCAATTATTTACATGCTCATATATATATAGATACACATAGATAGATATTTCAACAAGGAAAATTTTGATCACCCCTATACTTACTCTGTTTGGATTTTAATGACAAGAAATGAGTCTGAGCTAGAAAATGATTGAACTATACTAAATAATTTGTCTTTTTGTAGAGTATAATCAGAAAACAATGATGTATATCGAATAAGATTTCTTTAAAACTTTCTTTTTTTTGAATAAAACAATAGAAAGCACTTATAATTTATAATTCATTTAATTAAAATTTAATTTTTATAAAATAAAATATTTAATAAACATACCTATTGTTTTTTCCATTCTTATCATAACTTTGTCTAATAACGTTTCAATAGTTTCTTTAACATTTTGTGCTGTAAAAGCACTTGTTTCAATATATGGTAAAGAATATTTATCGGCCAATTCTTGTGCACGTGTTGGAGATACAACACGAGCATCTTCACGATCAGCTTTATTTCCAACTAATATCACATCAGGATCCTCACAATAAGCATGGCATTGTAATTGAGCAAGCCAATTTCGTACATTTAAAAATGATTGTTCAGATGTTAAATCAAACATTAATATAAAACCCATTGCATCACGAAAAAATGCTGTTGTTAAACTTCGAAAACTGAAAATAATTTATTTAAATATGTTTAAAAATATAAATTTCATAGAATTACCGTTCTTGTCCTGCCTATAAAACAATAGAAATAATTACAAAGAAATTTTTTTTTCTTTATTTATTTACCGTATCCCATAATTGTAAATGAATTCGATATGGTTTTGCGTTTGGTGGTGTTTTTGGTCGATAAACAACACGTTTCTCCCGAAAATCAATACCAACTGTTGAAATAAATTTTGGATTGAATTGACCATCAGTATATTGATAAAGAAATGTTGTTTTTCCTGTATGAAAATAAATTATTAACAAGAAAAGATTCTATCAATATAACATACCAACGCCAGAATCACCTAATGCAAGGAATTTGATCAAATAATCATATTCAATGGATGGATTTATCATAGAATCTCCCATTGTTGTCTTATAGTATTGTATCTTTCTTTTTGTTTTTCTTAATATCAACAATGCTATGCTACTAGTGGAACGAAAAGTCGTCGTATTTCCACTAACACACTTTCTACAATAGAACAATCAAAGGATAGGATCCAAAAAAAAATATATATATATATATCAGTGTTGTTCTAATCTGTTTCATTGATTCTTTATGTAATGATTAAGAAAGAGTGTTTTTTTGCCAATGACATCATAGAAAAAAAAAGAAAGGTAAAAAAAATCGACTCACAACACTGTCACACAGTAGTTTAAACTGCCAACCAGTCACAATCTTTATAAACGAATACGATCGATAGTAGATAGATATAAGTTATATAGTTTCTCTTTTTTCTTTTCTTTCTGTCTTCTTTTTTGGTTTTTCACCGTATGTATACGCAGAAAAATGGAGAAAAAGAAATATGATTATAATAGAAAAATGAAAAAGAGAAAGAAAAAAAAAGAGAGAAAAAAGAAGGATGTTGATATTGGCTAAATGTAACAGTGAAGGATTCGTAGAGAAAATATGAATAAGACAGTTTTGCTTGTGCGAACAATATATTGTCCTTTGCTCGTAGATATTTTGTTTTTTTAATTTTTGTTTTTACTTGATGAGACATTAAGACAGAAAATATGTCTATCATCATCGAAAATGAATACCAATGAAAAGCTTGAAAAGAAAGTGATAATTATTATTATCATCATCATTATTATTCACCTGTTCTAAAGTTAATGAAGAAAACAAACCATAGAGAATCAAAAAATGTTTAACAAAACTTTAACAGACAAAATAGTGTAATGAATAAGTAAAAGAAAAGAAACGGTTCTTGTTGTGAGAAAAAAAGAGGTAAGAAAAAGAAAATACATAATTATTACAAGAATTTATTAATATATATATGTATATACGAAAAAATGCTTAAGCATCCATTGGTACACTTTCGAAGACAGATCCATTAGAATTACCGGTTGATGCATTTGAACTCATACGACTACATCCTACATATATTAAAAAACTATTTTATTTAAAACAGAAAAAAAAGAACATCAAATCCAATGAGCCTACTTTGAAATGTTGTTACAAAAAATTTCATCAAATCAGACATAGAAAGAATGCCAATAATATTTTGACTATCGTCTACTATAATCAGACGATGCACCTACATAAATATTGCATATTATAATCATTTGTATGAAAAAATAAAATGAATATTTTTATAGATTGGAAACGATAGAAAAAGAAATGCAAGTAGATGAAGAAGCTGTTATTTTTTTGTTTTTGTTTGATGCTGTCGTTCATATAATAAACACAATAGAAACAAAATACTTAATAGAATGAATGACTTATGTTTCTTTTTTTTTTTCGTATGTCTTAGCTGCTAGTCAACGTGCATAGTTAATCTATAATTTACCTCTCGAGAGACAAATTTATCCATAAGTTCGAATAATTGATCGGTCATTTTACATGTTGCTAGTTGATATGTATTATGATCATGAATTGAATCAAGTATATCACATAATGGAACATCAAGATTGGCATATGTACGTGTTGCTGCTAAATGCTAATAATTATGTATAAAAATAATTAATAGAAAACAAAATTAATATTTATAACAAAATTTTTTTACCATAATATCAAATTTAGAATAAACATCACGTAGACGTTTTTCACTATCAACAACTGGTAATGCTGATATACGTATTCTTTGAAAGATACGAAGAACTTCAATTAATTTTGTTTTTAGATCAATCTCAATAAAAAAAAAAGAAAATGAAGATTGATTATTATTTGACCTTGACAGAAAATATGAATATTTATAATAAAAATAATAATAATAATAATAATAAAACAAAATGTAATTAATTAAAATACATATTATTTTTTCAATCAATTAATTATAGATGACATTTTGATTTGAATCAAATAAGTATGTTTTGGAAAAAATGTCAGCTAAAGAAAATCTTCGATTTCCTAGACATATACTGATTCTATTTATTTATTTTTTTACTTATGATAACTGCCCCATTTTTCTTCGGTCTTAGTATTCTTATACTCGCACAAGAGATAATAGAATTCAAGGCAATATTTTCAAATAGAGTTCAAGAACTCTAAACACTATGAATATGATTTGCGATATCGTCAATTGAGAACACTATCGAAGTTTGCATTGATGTAAATAATAGAAGCTTCAAAGACTTCATTTCATTCTTTTTCTATATAGCATATATTTTTGATAATTATAACGTACAGCGCATGAACATTGTCAATCCAATAGCCAACTAACAAGAAATAGGAAATAAAAAATGAGCATTAATCAATATTTTCATATTCGTCATTAGATGTATTTGCATAATCTTCACACGATCTTAAATAACATAATATCGTCAAACAAGTCAACTGTCATTAATCTACGAGAAAAAAATTTCAAAATTCAAATTAAAAAAGAGTGACTATGCAGATCTTCATACCAGTTAGGACTCGATTAACTGCAGAATTTACGGAAAATTCTCTTTTATTTTGCCTACAAAAAAAAATCGATCCTTTAACTTCAGACATAACTATATGACAAGTCATATGTTCGAATGATTAATTGATAGAGAAAAACTTTAAAAACTCCTATACAAGATTGATAATTTAATAAAAATCTTCAAATATGAATTTATTAACAAAATTCAAAGTTCAATTCACTTGACTAAACATTCAGCATTTTGAATCAAAGTTTAATAAATGGCAATTGGGACATTAGACATTTGAATGAAATCGTATACGAATAAATTAATCAAATTATAAATGCTATTAATATGGAAATTGTATTCATGTTCATATATCGCAATGGATTTTGATTTTTTTTTCTAAATCATTCTGATTTGAAGAAGATTCGTATATTTTTTTTATACAATTGATAAAAAAAAAAAAATCAAAACTACTACAAAGATTGTTCATGTAAAGATTTTTTCACTTTGTAGTTAATTAACACCTAATACATATATTTGAATGATAATTCAGAAAAAATTAAGTAATGATTACTTTCAATAATTTATTTCTATGTAAATAAAATTCATAATTTTCTTTTTTTTCATTTCGTCTAAATGAAATGTAATTCATTCATTTAGATATTACTCTAAAAACAAAACATCTATGTTGTTAAAAATTCATACAGGAAGGTTTCTGAATATTTTTACGCCGGAAAGGTTTCCGAGATAATCTTAGAAATTCTTTAGGAATTCAATCAAGTTGAAAATGAATATCTAATGTTTTAGAAATCCCTAAAGCATTTCAAACTGGAACATGTTCAAAAATCTTGAAGAATTTGCAAGAGCGTGATGCAAACGCTTTTGGTATTTGTTTTAGAGTGTGTATTAATGACAAGTGGGGAAAATCGTTTTCGATTTAGTGCTTAGTAATACAGATACTAGCAAAAAATGCGATATGGTTTTTTAGCATTGTCAATATACGCTAGACATCTTGCACAATTCCCATGAGCTCTAATCTCCTCTCTTTTGGAGATTCATTATTTTGTTTAATTCATTAATACTTTGTCTATCTCGCATGTTTATGTGTTCGACAGTTCTGTTGTTTACAAAAAAGGAAAGATATATTGTACGATCAAAATTGTAACAGTAAATATTCAAATGATCGTTACTCAATAATTTTTGTATGAACTTTTGCAACCCATAAGTCGTAAGAATATGATATTTGATGCAAGTCTCAAACAACCATAAAAGATATTACTCTCAATAAAAACATTATAAAAGTGCATCTTTTATTCACTATGTTAATAATCAGTCATTAACAACTTATTTTGAGTTTTGGTCTATTAAGAGGGAGCCCCCCCCCCCTCAGAAAAATCAATTTTGGTCAAATTGATTGATTTTGTAATTTACAGCTCGTTAGATAGAACAATGTGTCTACTCTCGAATGCAATAAAATTGATTGATTGTATGATAAGACTTAAGGATATTACATAGGTTTTTCTGAACCTTCATATTGAAAAAATAAGGTTTTTAAAAACTTATTTTTCGTTTTTCGCAAAATCTGTTTTTTTCGAGTATACTGTTTACACGGGGAAACCTTTCTCAATAATGAATCAATATAAAAGTGATAACATTTTTTTGTTATACAGCAGACACTTGAGGCTAGATCCTAATAGAGCTCGATTTTTGAATTTCTCCTTTGTTTAAATAAAAAACTTAAATCTTTGATTGTAATTAACGATTTTTTCGCCACGAATTTGAGAATTTTTCGGAAAGGTTTTTTTAAATATCAAACAAAGGGAAATTAAGAAATCGGGTTTTATTAGGATCTAGCACTAAATGTACTCTACAATTTAAAAACCACTCCGACATGCTTAGCTCATATCCTCATTTTGAAAATCTTCCCCGCGTAAAGGGTGTTTTTGACCAATGCATTGACTATAACTCGTGAGTACCTTGAAAATTTGGGGAGATGTTTCAACCATAATCTATTCTAGCCAAGACTAACATTCTCTGAAATTTTGGTTGAAAGCGGATGAAAAATAAAAGTTTATTTGTGAGGTCCCCCTCTTAAACAAATTTTAATTTCTACTTACCACTACTAAATTGTCATAGGTACCAAGTTTAAGCTCTTCTAAAGTTTGATGAATAAAATGAGGTTGTGGTAGATCATAAATCTGATCAAATAAAAATGTAATATCATTAAAAAAAGGACTTATAAACATTTTTCACAACTAAATAACATACGTATAAATATAAAAATTTCAATATACGTTTATGTGTAATTAAAAATAAAAAATCATGTGTAGTAGGATCAACAACTGGTATACGATGAATTTTATGTTCAATTAATGTTAAAATTGCTGTATATAAACTAAAATAAAAAATCAGAAAAAAAAAATACACAAACAAATATATTTTATTTTAAATGAAGAATATATTTTACTCACCTATCCTCTGGACTTAATTGAATTATAGTTGAACCTAAATTTTGATTACATGCTCCACTTTTTTTCTGTGAATTTTGTTTCCATTCTAATATTGATGAAGTTTCCAAAGTAGCAACACTATTCTATAAAATAATGCATGATATTATTTCATCATAATCATTTACAGAGAAATTAAGAAGTTCAGGTCCGAAATTTGCAGATTCGGTTGAACCGTACTTTGATACTTTCAATAAAATTTTCTAATTGTAATAGGATAATCGTCTCGAAAATACGAGATACTTTTTTTTTTCATTTTTTTTTTGTATTCGTTGACTAGCGTATTCTACATATTTCTTAGACAACTTGCTCAAGAAATATGTAGAGTAGAGTCCAACGTTTTTAGGCTCGGTTAACAGAAATATTTCAAACCCTAATCCGACTGGCTATACTGAAAAAAAACCATTGTATCATGACTACAATTCATATTTTTAAGATGATGCTAGTACATTTTGTGCTCTAGAAAATTACATATATATATCGATTGTGTAGTTGCTTCACAGATTGATGACACTCTATATACTAATTAGTCTTATTGACAGGAAATATCAACGAATGTGAGTGTTGCTGACATGAAGAAGTACCCGATTATCTTATCACTTATGGAAATAAGAATAAATCATTTATCTGTTAAGAGATTAAAGTTATGAGCTTAGACATAAAAGTCAATAGTAGATTCCGCTCGATTAGTTATTCTGAAAAGAGCAGCAATGCATAGATCATGCAATACAGAAGTGCACACTAAAGAAGTTGTTCTTTATCTGTCTTGAGAGTGTAGTCTTTCAGGTATATATAATGCATAATATAGATAAATAATCATATTGATTTTTCATGATCAAATATAAATAGTAATGTTTTTCTTTTTTTTTTAATAAGATTTATTCAATACAATGAAATACATCATACGAAAACAAAATCATTAAATAATTAAAACTTTTTCATTTGTTTTTTATTTGTATGAAGCTTTTTTTCATTAGTAGTCTCTTATATCCATATCTGGTATATAATAGATTATACAATAGAAAATCAACTATCTTTTAAATGTAATGAATATTACTCATTCACCTGGGTTTTTTTTTGGTCCTTAATGAGTAGCTAAAATTAAACACAGTGACACAGGTAAAACACAAGAACTTCTTATAAATAATTTCATAATGATGCCTTTTTCTACGTCTAAAAAGAAACAAAATACTTCTTACCCATTTCGAATCATAAGCAGCGATAAGCATATTAATAAAATCACTTATGGTAATTAAACCAATATTGGATGATGTTGGTGCATGCCAAACGAGTGCTGCTCGAACACTATTATATACAAGTGCAAAAAAAGCTTTACGTATTGATAAACGTGCATCAAGTAAAAGAACTTTTCCACTTTTTGGCATGCAATCATAACATGTATGCGTTATAAAAAATGATTGATAAATTTCATCAGAATCTAATTATTAAAAAGAAAGTTTGTTTTCTTTTTGTTTTGTTTTGTTATCAGTAATTTTTAAAATACTTTTTATTCAATTAAACTTACTAATTCGTTGATAACTATCATGACGGACACGTTTTGAACGAAACTCCTACAAAATTCAAAAAAAAACAAAGAAAAGAAAAACTCATAGATTTTCATTAATCATTGTGGTTTTTTTTATTTATCCTACCGACAAAGCTGAAGGTTCAATAACAACACAATTGTCCGACATAATGGAAGCAATTCAAGACTACAATTTCGAAATGAAAAAAAAACAAAAAGAAAAGAAACGGAATGATGATATATTCTTCTAATAATGTGAATAAAAACAAATAGATACAAGAATAGAATGTCAAATATGCCAACTGACGCAGTATATCTACATATTTGAAAGATAATCCTCAATTTGTCGGGTTCTTGTTTTTTCGCAGTTTTATTTTATTTTTTTTAGATATTGATCTATTGATTTTCTTTTTATTATCCACGTAGAAGCATCTGGCTTTTAGAATTTACGATTGGAGTGTATATTCATTTTTTGTTCTGCGTAATAAAACACATAAAGCAACCAATATTTTACATAATATAATTTCGTTCTTTTATTTTTATAATAGAATTTATATAGAGGACGTTTTATATGTTTTTTTAATCTTTGTATGTATATATCAGTCATTATTTCGTGCATTTTTCTTACCATATATGTATGAAGGACAAAAACGTATTAGCAAACAAAAGAAAATTACATGACGTAGTAGATTGAGAAATAATGTCGAAGAACGCTTGTTCAGTATATGCTATAGAACTGTTAATAATATAACGAATAAAAATGAGGATAGTAACCTCTAGAAGGTGCTTTTATTGCGCTACAATCTATGCTAATCAATTTTATAATTTCTAGCGCTTGTCAATTGATGGCCTATACTTTTAGTTCGACACAAAGTTCGCGCATGACATATTGAGTGAAGTAGTCAATGTAAGCAATGCAACTGCCACCACTACCACCATCACCTCCATCATCATCAACAACAACAGAGAGTGATCATGGTAGCATTTCAAATTTATCTAATCAAATAGAATCACTTAGAATCAAATTGACTCCAATTATTGGAAGCTCAGTATCTTCTAATCAAAGTTCAAATGTGGGTACAAAAAAAACTAAACCACCACCTAGTGAGACTCAGTGATTGTCGTATTGGTTTAAATTAAAATTTGTTTCTTTTTGTTTTAAGCTAGTTTAGGAAGTTCTCCATCAACACGTAAAGGTGCTGTTAATTTACCTATCTCATCAGTGCAATCGTCTGTAGATCTTACCAGGTAAAAGAAATTATTCTATTTGACAAAAGAATGAATTTTTGTTTTAGTGAACAAACACGAGCTATATATGAAAAAGTGCTTCAAAATTCTGGTTTATTTCATATAAATGGAGAGGTAGGATATTGAAATTTTTATTTTCATACGAATTACATATACTAAAGAGAAAAGGATAATGACGAAGAATTCTTTCATCAATAGCTTTATCATTTAATTTAACAAAAAAAAAAAAAGACATTTTGTAAAAAATGAAAACTTAATTTTTTCTATTGCAATGTTTATTTACGAAACAAATCACAAAAAATCTAAGAATTATTAACAGTTTCAGTTAATACTAAAAGGATTTTGTTTTTTTTGTTATTAACTCTTCAGAAAAGATTCTTATTACATTTAATATATCTTCCCATATTGACATTTTGTCAAGAAGTCATTGTATTTAAATAAATGCTTTGACTTACATAACGGGTGATTGGAAAGTTTTTGAATCAGATGTTTTGCTTACTTGTAATCCAATAGAAATGATCAAAACCTATCAGTTAGAATGCTCTTGTAGAATATGGGTTTGAAAATGTGGAGTGTTTTTTTTTGTAATTCAGAGTAATTGGAGACTTTCTGAAGAACCTGAAAAATTATTTTTAATGGTAAGCCACGAAATGTTTGTTTATTCTATAAATCTCTTTTCGAACATGTTAAAAATAGTTGGAGTCGTTCATGTTGTAGAGCAAACACTCCTCTACAAACTGTGATATTATACTAAATTTTGACTTTTATCCAAGTAGGTTTTCAAGAGTTACTTTCAATAAAAAATGGTTATCGGTTTTTCAAAAATGAATATTTATAAAGAACAAAGATTGAGCCATCTAGTCGAAAGACAAAGAATTGTATAATTTGTAACGTAACTTACGCTCTACAAGCTGATATATATATATATAAATTAAAGTCTCAACTCTTAGTTTCGAATATTAATAGTGAAAATATGAAAGTTTTCCTTCTAAACTAATGATTTAGACTTTTCAAAGATTATTTCACTACTCTCAAATAAAGACTGACACAAAATTTCTAAGCACACATGTGAAAAGAGCATTCTAAGTTATAGTTTTTATTACTTTCTAGTAGGTCAAGAATGAACAAACATTCTGTATAAAAACTTCCCAATTTTTCTTAAGTTATTCTTGTCGTCAAAATTTTTATTAAAGAATTCGTAAAAATTCCTTTTCATAAAAATGAATATTTTGTTTATTCGTATTTTTTTTCTAGGACAAATTTATCGAACAGAAAGATTTTGTAAAAGAATATTTACTTGGTTCCGGTTCATGTGGTTCAGTATTTAAAATGGAACATAAACCAAGTCAAACGATATTAGCTGTTAAAGTATTTATTTTTATTTTTTTCAAATATTGTTAAGTTTTCTTCTGTTCTTTTTATTATTAAAATTTAGGTTATGCCACGAACAGCATCTAATGAAGAAAATAAACGAATTATTATGGATTTAGATGTTCTTGTAAAAAGTTATAATTTTCCATATATTGTTCGGTGTCTTGGTTATTTTATTAAACAAGTAATATACATATACAAAAAAAAAAAGGATTACTATCCTATTTCATTTATTTCTTATCTTATAGACAGAAGTTTGGATATGTATGGAATTAATGGCATCGTGTTTTGATAAACTTCTTAAACTTATTCGACAACCTATACCTGAATTTATTCTTGGAAAATTAACATTTTCTGTAAATGTTAAAATTAATTTATTTGTATTTAATCTTTTTTTTTTTTTCTATCTTCTAGACAGTTACTGCATTGAGTTATTTGAAAGAAAAACATGGTATTATACATCGAGGTTTATATTATTTGATATATATACATATATATGTCAGTTTGAAAATTATTTTTCTTTCGTTTTAGATGTTAAACCATCGAATATATTGATTGATGAACAAGGAAATATAAAATTATGTGATTTTGGTATTAGTGGTGTACTTATTGACTCAAGAGCTAAATCAAGAAATGCTGGTTGTGCTGCATATATGTCACCAGAACGTATTAATCCATCGAATCCAGAAAAACCTGATTATGATATACGAGCTGATATTTGGAGTTTAGGAATATCACTTGTAAGTAAAATGAGAACATAGCTCGAAGTTTGGCCTTTTATAAATGAGAAGACTTTTTATTTGGGTTCTCAAATTGTTTTTCTTTAAAAATTTTAGTTGATTCCCGTCATTTTCTGCTTGAAAAATATGCGTGTGTAGTCATGCATCCTAAAATTCTTGAAGGATCTTCATTATACCTAATTGCTTTTTTTGTTTGTTTGAAAGAGCATATGAAACCATAAAGCTCGTTTTTTGAATTAAACATTTTTATTATTATATAAAAAAAGCACTTCTATAAACAGATGGCCATTATTCAAGGTATTGAAATTCTTGTCCTTTTTCTTCGCATGATATGTAAGAATTTTAGAAAAAAAAGCCTACTGCAATCTGACATATTCTTTCAGATAAAAAGATATTAAATCTATAGAATGACGACATACAGAAAATTATGGAATGCTAAATTAAGAAACTGTCAAACAGTTCAGTAGCCGGCGGGACGGAAAAAAAGGTGGTTCCGCAATTTCCTATGCTGAGTACGCTATTCCTTGACTTTTGCTTGTTGAAGATATTTTGAAAACATTATGTAATAGGACTGAAAACTTTATCCTAGTTTATCTACTATAGCTGTAATATATTTTGAACATTTCATACGATTTGAATGCAATTGGCTTAAGATCGTTTTTTGAAGGCAAAAGCTTACAAAAGGCATTAAGTTAATTCTGTCATCTTATCTGTTCTACATTGAGTAAAATAAATTGAAGACTGATGTATTCTAGTGATTTGAATTAGATAACTTTCAAAATGACATAAATCTAAAGTATTTTGTGACTTGTTAATATGTTGCAAATGATCTTAACGAACTTTATTTGTTTTTCGTTCTTTTTTTTTTGTTGAAAAATGTTGATGTTTGTTTTCTATGATTATATATACGAGAAAATGACGATTTATTTAGATTGAACTTGCTACAAATGTACATCCATATTCAAATTGTGAAAATGATTTTAGTGTTATGGCACGTATTGTTACGGAAGATTCTCCTCAATTACCTACTCATCTTTCATTTTCTGATAATTTTCGATCTTTTGTTGATATATGGTGTATTTGACGTTTATTATTTTCTATTTGATAATTCATCTTTTTTTTTTGTAGTTTAATTAAAGATTATCAACAAAGACCAAAATATGGTCAATTAATGCTTCATCCATTTTTTATTCAATCAAGAGAACAGTCTGTTGATGTTGCTGGATGGTATCGAGATGTTACTCGTGTTGCAATTGAAAAACAACAGTAATGCTTGTGATCATCTTTTGGTTTAACATTCCAACTTCTATTTTATTCATATTTTATAATATATTCATTTTTCTTCAATTCAGCTATAGTATTAGATGATATTTCTTTATGCTAATGAAAATGTCTTCTAATATTATGCAGAAATAAAACTAATTCATATTTTCAATAAGCATATGTGTTGCATATTGTTGTTCGTGAATTTTTTTTTTTGTATAATTGTGATAAGATACTGTGTTTCATATGCAAGGAGGAAGTTATATCATTAATTAATATTCCTGAAATTAAATTATTATTCAAATATTAATTGAGTAGACAACAAGTTCTGTTTGTTTTTGTCTTAGAAACAAATAAAACGTATATTTATGACTTTTGTCAATTAAAAGAAAAAAGAATTTTTTTTTTTTTTGTTTTTTTGAAGTGATTCGCATGATTCGGAAATGACTGTAATCATATTAAAGTGCTTTTATTCACATGCGGAAGCATGAAAAATATTCATTTAGAACACATAAATGACGATAAAAAATACTCAAAACATTCAAATAAATGATTTGATAGTTATTTTTATTTTTTGTGCTTCATTTGTTTTTCTTGAAATAGAGAAAAATAACAAAATTTTAAAACAAAATAAAATCATTAATAATCATGTGTAATCGATATTTTGAGATACGGCAAAAAAGTTTCTCTATATTGATGAAACATTCTTCTGCATCAAATCAAGTAATTTCACAAAAAATAGTTATTTTCAAATCAATAGTATTATTTTTATAAAAAACATAGTCATCTATTGGGAGTGATACTTTATCTTTACTTTAGTAAGTAAAGCAAATTAGCTTACTTTACTATACTCGTTAAACTAAATTAAAGTATATATACTTTAACCACAAAGTAAAGTTAAAATAGAGTAAAGTGAATAAAAATGCTTAAAATTAATTGTTGTTTTTCAGTCCAGCATCGTACACTGATAATGGTTTTGCACCATTATTAATCGATGATGTTAGACCGCAAAACCAATATTAAATTGTAAGTATTTAAATTAAAATAAATTTATTTTTTCTTTTTCAAACTAAAATAAAGATAAAGTGCCAATTCTATCATATATTAAAAAAGGTTTTAGCTTGTATTAAATGTTGTATTTCGAAAACAAAAAAGGTACATATTTGATGGTGTACCTATTATGATTACAGAAAGAAAAAAAAACTGTGGTATTCTGATTTAAATGTATTAGACTTAGATGTTTCTTTAAAAGGGACTACTAATTTACATCTAAAAATATTTATTCATTCCATACATAAATTTTAAAAACATTAAGTTTAAATTAGTTTAAGATAAATTTAAATTTTTGCGGTTGTCTCAAGACCAAAATGCAATCTTTTATCTCGAAAATATTCTATCAAACATTTTTTATGAGTGTTTTAGTATCATTAGAAAACAATAGGAATGAAGTATGGTTCTTTTATACGAAATATTTTATTCTGATGGTCAGATTTGAATATATGGTTTCAGTTTCTTTTCTTGGTTCTGCTCATTTTTCTTAACGTCATATATTTTGACAATAGGGATGATCTATTCACATTTTAAAAAGTTTATTAAATCCAAAAAACTCCAAAGTTTTGTTGAATTTAACTTGGCAAGTTTTGAATTTACTTTGACTTCAATTTGACAAGAATTTAAATCTAAAATAATTTACCGGAAAATGCCACTCCTATTCATCAAATCGGACCCCACAAGTCATTTTTGTATAGTATAAAATCATTCATTTTAAATAATTGTATCATATAGAAATTGAAATTGATTACATTAAAACATCTGTCAATCATAAAACCATAGTAGTTAAAAATAGACTAAAAGCTTTTTTTAAAAATTTTGTTTTGTTTAATGAGAACATAAATAATGGAAAATTTCACATGATTATTGAGAATAACGTCTTTTGGTATATTTTTCTATTAAATTGACAATATTTTCTTTTCTTGTGGTGTTTTTGTTATTTTTTATTTCTTATGTAAACAATCAAACATATGATATTTTTCTGTTTTACATAAAACAGTTTTGTATTTTGTATTCGATGCTAATTGTTGTATTTTACTAATAGCATCAAAGCACTCTAGTCACGCGTCGCCATCGTTTCAAGTGGTTAATTTATTCGTATAAGTGTGTTGCTTTTTTGTGTTCGACAAGAAACTTTTTCATTTCAATTTGAGAATACAAAATAAAAAGAGATTTATGATCAATGCAAGACTTTATATTAATAAATCCTTTTTTTTTTCTGAGAATATTTTTTCATTAGCCGTAGCTTGGCAAGAAACAAAAATAGAAACTACTAAATCGGAAATGAATTCTTTTTCTGTGTTTTCTTTTATTCTTGATTGATTTTCATTATTGAATAAATATGTTCGAGGCTTTGTGTTGTGTTCATCGTCAGAATAAACTTCATTGAAAGAATAGTACAAAAAAAATGAATGTTTTTCTTTTTTTTTTATATTTTACTGTCAAAAAAAGAAAAAATAGCATATTATAGAGTATTTCTTCTGACAACGAGGATCAAAAGTAACAACAATAGCAACATCAGTAGTAATAGCAGCCATGGTCGTTAGCCATGAGTGAAGTCAGTTGACAACGCGAACGTATACACGCTTACAGGTAACACAACAACAATGAAAAAGCAAAGAATAATGAAGGCGGAGAGAGAGAGAGAGCAGGAGAGAGAAAAATTCTTCACATTTTGACTAGGGTTTCTTTTTGTCATTCAATCATTCTTGTATTTTATTCTACCTTGTGGTGTACTCTGTCGATCAAAAGTATATACATAATAGCTAATATAATACGCAAGTATTACAATATTAAACACATCAATAAAATATCTAAATTTTTCTAATAATATAAAAAATAAAATATTCAAACTCGAGCATATATAATTATTTTCATATAAAAAGTTTTATTGATTTAAAAAAGAGAATATTAAAAAATAAAGATAAATAAATTCTTTTTATAGTTAGTTCTCATTCATTCGATATTTTAAACATGGATTATATGGGTTCAACATCTACGGCTCAATACACACGTATGAGTCGTCGACCACAACAACGTACTTATTTACCATCTATTGGTAAATATGATACTCGAACATCAAGTGTTCCACCATATTCCGGTCTACTTACTCGATCAGCTTCACTTTCATGGCGTCCATCGACATATTATCAATTTGGATGTATTGAACCAACACAATCATTAAATACGTCAACATCTACACCATTTAGTTCGTCAAATTATTTAAATAATATTGATAATGTTAAAGTACCACCAATATTTCCATCAGCTCGTCAAGCACTTTATACACGTTATACACCAAAAGATTGGTATAATGCTCAAATAACAAATTATTTAGCATCGGATAAAATTCGTTCTGCAGCTGCACATTTACGTTCTGATGCTATACGTTTAGCACGTGAAAAAGATGAACAATCATATAAAAATAATCTTGAATCATCAAAACGTTTAGGTGAACGTATAAATGATATTGAATATTGGAAAAATGAATTAGAAAAAACAAGAGATAAATTGAAACGTAAAATAGATGATGTTGAATTTAAACGACGTGAAGTTGAACGACACTTAGCTGAAACAGAAAAACCATTACGTATAGCTCAAGAAAATTTATATGAACGTGAAAAACGTCAAGGTTATTAGAATTTAATCTATTTTGTTAATGAAAAATAAACAAGAAAAATTTATTTACTTTAGGTATTGATCTTGTACATGATAATGTTGAACGAGAACTTATTCGAGTACGTTTTTATAATTATAAAAGAAAGAAAAAGAACAAAAAAAAATACTTATATAGGAAATTGATACAATTAAATTATCACAACAAAAACTTCGACAAATGCTTGAACGTCTTAATACACAAAATGCGTATGTATTATTCATCATACTAGATTAAATATCTATGATCTTATATTTAAGTCTTAATCGTGCTGCATTACATGAATTAGAACTTGATGCACAAGATAAATTTCGTGCTCGTGTACTTGATTCAGCTGCTCATCATATTAAAACAACATCGCATGGCGTTAACTTTTATAACGGCATTGAAAATGTGGATAATACGTAAGTTTCAACTCATTAGTATATTGATCTTATGTATTTTAATATTTGAAAGAAGAGCCAATAACACAGTTATTAGTAAAATTTATTGTCTCTCTCTTTGAGCGCTTTCATCTTTATGTCAATGAAAGTTTTGTATGATTATCAATTTTAATACTATTATCAGCAGATGTGCACAGAATTCGAACTCAAATTGTGCTTTCGGGACGAATAGTTCACGTTTGAGAACTATTTAATTGATGATAATAGTGTTGAGTATTGACATGATTACTTAAACGCTTGTCGAACAACTATGGAAGCACCATAGGATTCGATCCAATTTGAGTATTTCTTTTAGGATGTCTGTAGCCAACACTGAAGTCTATGCTATTTCATTTTAACAACTAAGTGAAAACCATTCTAGTCTAGACCAGAACTGTCAACACCCTACTTTTTCCTGGGCTGATCTTTAAGACAAAGCAGGCGTATGGATGTTTCTGTTTTTTATTTTTAAATCCACTAGTCCCTATAACCTTATTATATAATGTATTATCCTAGTTTCAGTTATATAAGTAATTTGTTTTCATGACGATAGTCTACTAAAGTTATCGAAATGTTTTCTCAATATATCAGCATCGATTCACGTTATCGGAACGAATGTAATTATCATAGAAAAACAACATATGATCAGGCATACGATGAAGAGATACAAGGATATGCGTCTGGGTATCTGTATGTGTGAAGAGATGACACATATTCACCCACACGCTCACAACATAATGAACTTGTTGAACCATTTTATAATTCGAGTTATACTAGGAAAAATAATATTGCATCACACGTAGGTCTATATTATATGGACAGATTAGGCCAGACTGATGGCTCTGGTCTTGACCGAACCCGACAGTTTACATTGAATAGATGCCTACTTTCCAATTTTTTAAAAAGTCATTATATGAAGTCATCCAAAAAAAATATCAAGTCAAACAGTTAAAAAGCTTGAAACATATTGATCAAGTCAAAGAATATAATTTCTTATATACTTCATCAAACGAATATTATAACTATAAAGTACCACTTAATATGAGTTAAAGGAATAGATTATAGGACTTGGTTTATACATAAATAAATATATTTCTTTTTTATAGTATATCGGTACCTGAAACATGGACACGATATACAGAAGAAAATATCCGTCGAGCATTTAGTGAAATGTCTCAATCGGATGAATTACTCAATGCAAGTAATCAACTTATGGCAGCAAGTAATGATGATATGTGGTCACAATGGAATCATGTTAATGTTTCACTTGAAAATCGTGTACAAGAAGAACAAGTAGCGAAACATAAAATTCAATGTCATCTTGAAAAGGTTAATTTCAATGATTATTTTAACAAGAAGAATTTCTTGAAATATATTTTTATTATAAATTCATTATTTTAGATTCTTCAAGAAATCTTTGATGTTGAACAAAATATTGAATTTTTGAAAAAAACTATTGCTGATAAAGAAGTATTTCTACAAGTTGCTCAAACACGTCTTGAAACACGTACTAGACGACCGAATGTTGAAGCATGTCGAGATCCTGCTATGCATAGGTTATAATAAAACATAATAAAAGAAAAACATAATTTTAAGTTTCCTCTTTTATTTTGTATGACTATTTAGATTAACTCAAGAAATTCATGATTTACATGCAGCCATTGCTGATCTTCATGGTAAATTACGTCAAGAAGAAAATGCTGTACAACATTTATTACGTACTAAATCAACATTAGAACAAGATTTAGCTATTAAAAATAATTCATTATTTATTGACTCTGATAAAGTTATGGGTATTCGACGTACATTTACAATGGGTGCACCAGAAAAAAGTTCCGTTACTTCGGTAACCTATTCTCATCCACGTGGTCTTATTAGTGTGTGAAGAAATAGTAAGATTTATTATTAGTTAAAAATTTTAAAAAAAAGTAAAAATTGTTTTGTTTTTCGTTTTCGCAATTTTTAGTAAAAATATCTATCATTGTCTTTCAAATAATCAAGATAATCAATGATACCATTTGTTTTCTTCACAGCATTAAAAAAAAGACATATATTATTATTATTTTTTCTTCAACTTTTATTCTGTATTTTTACTTTCATTTTTTAGAACTACAAATACGACCTCTTCTTTTCTTTCTTATATACATATGCTCATTATCATTTTTTTATTGAAGTCTTATTTTTCATTTTTAATACGAAAGAAAAGAAAAAATAATATTTGATTTAGAGGGTCTTTTATATTGAATATTTTTTCTTTTTTAATTGTAAGTATAGGATAAAGTAGATAAAAAGAAAAAAAATTGTAGCTTAAGTTTTCAAAATACTCATCTACTTAGCTTTTTATTGTATGGGTTAAATATTCTTTTAATAAATCTCTTATCAATAATATGGAGTTTGAAGTCCATGGTACTGAAAAGCAAGAATATTTACTTCGCTTTCTTCTATCGATAATGCAAATAGCTCAAAAAAAAACTATGATAGTGACAAAGATAAAAATAATGAAGACTCAATTCTGTATTTTTAATAAATTATTTCAAAGGTTTCTAATCTTTTCTTGTTAGAAACAAGACAATAATAAAGATTTTATTTCTATTCTCGCGTGTAATTGTGCGAAAAAAATCTAAAAATTGAAATAGCAATAAAGCCAGGAGTGACTAAGCTTCTACTAGAGACCTTTAAGTTTCCTTTACAAATGAGACGATCTTATATTATTGGTGAAGATATACCTGCCTCTCAGCTTCAAACATGTGCTGAACCCCTCTACAAATTTTCTCTGACTCGTCCACTAAATTGATATAATACGAAAGAGATTAGGTGAGTATGTTCTTGGCCGAAAATCGGTAATTTATATTTCTGTGATGTAACTATTGGCAGCGCCTGTTTTCAATAATCTTTATTTCTATGACCAAAGCTATCAATAATATTCTGAAATGATATTGGCAGTAGTAGAAACGTTCTTATATTGTATGAATTGTTACTTACTGCACTTAGTAGGTATAGTGATATGCCGAGTTTATAACTAACTTAAGTAAATAACCCTAATAAGCTCTTTAATTAAGTTTGAAAGAAGGTTCATAAGTTGATTTAAGAGTTAAGCTGGTAGTTCAATAACTTAGTGCTTATGTTAGTAACTAACATAAAAAGTTTTTCAAATGATAAATCGCTTTTTAACTCAAGACTGTTTGCCTTATGCAGAGCCAAATGAGCTATGAATACCCTAAAAAGAGTTCGTGCCTATAACTTACGGCTATTAATATGCTGCACTTTCACGGTATTTTTCAATTGATGCTGAAGCCTCCATTAAAAATAGTAGACAAACTCATTTTCGATTTTTGACTTAAAGTTTGAACAGAAACACGACTTAATGACAGTATTCTGTTATGAAAGTTTCAAGTCCTCTGATTTCTTTCCATCGTAAAATAAGAATATCAAATCTGTCAGTTTGTATAAGCGATGCAAAAGATAAGCTATTACCATAGATGTATTTTACGATAGAAACAGCGATCAGATCTGAAACATTCATAAAAAAAAACCATTCTCGTTAAGCTCTATTTTTATGCAAAGTTTCAAATAAGAATTCGAAAATCAGTTTTTCTTACCTAAAATTGATTTATTGATTGAAGGACTTCTCGTGTAAAAAGAAAGCCCAACTCGTTATTCATGAGGCACACATCATAGCTGAATCGATGTAATGTATATGCATAAATTTATGATAAATATTTATAAAGAACGAACATAAGGAATGGTCGCTGAAACACGAAACTTACGAACACAGATAATCCAAAGACATTTGCCTCTCTTCATTTCGGCAATGAGGTATACAATCTCTTGTTTCAACCACAACTTTGATTAGAAATAAGATTGGTTCATTTTATTTTTGCAATCGAATCTTAATAAACATTGTAAATATTTTTTAAGAAAAAAAAATTTCGCATTCTATTAATAAAATATCCAATCAATTTATTCAATTTTTCACAATTGTTTATTTCTTCGATCTGTGAAAATATAACAAAAATTCGAAATTTATATTAACATTTTTTCAAATCATGTATGTTCATTAGTTGAACTCAACACAATTAATGAAACACTAATTCTTATATTCATTACAATCATTACCGATCACTGATCGATCTGATAATCAAAAATCGAGAGAGACAGAAAAAGTAACTGTGTCGTGCATGTCTATCTTCGTTGACACTTGATCAGCAAGTGGTCTTTTCCAATATCCATACTTCGTCTAATTGTCTCAAGCAGTTAGTTGCCTCACTATCACGTCATCAGAGTACTGATTGCGATCAACATCGACACATATATACATTCAGGTGCCACTCACACTAAGGTATACCTTAATTGGAGAGCACTCCTCCCCTACAATGTTATTTGTCATTTGCGTGAGACTCAATAGAAAAAAAACCGATGCTAATAATGTCAATTAACCAGCACTTTTTTTTTATTGGATAGTAACTTAAGAAAGAAAAAAATCTATATTTGTATAATATGTTTCCGATTTTATTCTATATACTGTTTTCGAAACACAAAAGAAAAATGTATGTTATAGAGAAGAATGAAATCAAGAAAAAAAACAAACAAACAAGATGACAATGAAATATGTTCATATTAACATTCAATAAATTTTTGACGTTTGTTAATTGTTTGTTCATCATGTGATGCTAAAAATAAGTATAAGATAAAAAAAAAACAGATTCGAAATAATTTAATTTAACATACAATTCAAAAATGATGATAATGGTCGTTTATTTTTTATTGTTACTTTATTTGATAAAATATTTTCTATTGAATGTTTTATAAGTGAAGATGATGGATTTGGTTTTGTTTCTATTGATAATATTGAACTGTTATCATCATCAACATCATCATCATCATCATCATCATCATCATCGGATTTATCAATTTCATCCGATGATGGATTTGGTGGTGCTGGTGGTGGTGGAGGTCGATGTTGAAAAAAAAATGGATTAGGATGATGAAATGAAAAATATCTTGATGTTGCATATGAATTTGATGGAAGATGATTGGGACTTGTTGGAAACGATCGATAAGTCCTTTTATTTTTTTTTAAATAAATTAAAAGTTTATATTTTAAATTTATAAAGCTTTACCGAGTTGATGATAATTCTTTATTATTGATTGATTTGTGTGATGATGGTGAAATACCAGAATTCTATTTAAAGAAAAAAATAAGAAAATCTTCGATATTCTTCATGAAAATCTTGTTAACTATGTATTCACCTGACATTTATTGATCTCAATACGAGTATCATAGGTTTTCTACAAAGAAAACAAAAACTAGATTGGAAAATAATTTAATTATAATACTAGTGATCGAGCTGAAAAGAACTTATTGGAAAGACTGAGCCTTTCTTTAAAGCTGAAAAGCAGGTATTTTCTCGAACTGTTTCATTTCTAAAGGAAATTCAACGAGTTCTGAAGGGAATTCTGTCATCCTCCTGGTTCTGCCACTGCTATAAAAATTTGTTAAGTTTACTTTTGAATGTCGTCCACTTCCACCATTTATCGATCCTGGACGAATAGAACCTGTTTCATAAAATCTTGTTAAAATTTTCGAAACACATCCATGTGAAACAAGTAATTTTCTTGATATATCACATGGACGAATTCCAAGTAATGCTAATTCAACAATTTGTTGACGAACATGATCAGGTAATGGACGACCATTAACAAAAACACCACCAAGTTGATTAACTCCTGCTTGACCTAATATAAAAACAATTCTTCAATGATGATCAATCATGACGTAAGACAATATATAAATATATATACTTACCTACACCTGGTACATACAATTTGCTTTTCATCTTTAGGTTTTTTGAAGTTTTTCAATGATGATGTCACTTGATTTGGTAGATGGAATAAAATAATGTTCTCCTACTGTGTGATTTTTGTTACATGCGAAAAAAAAAGAGAAAATGACAGAGGGAGAGAGAAACAAGAAACTCGATTTTCATTGGTTTATTGTATTCATTTTTCATTGGATAAAAATGAGAAGAAAAGTGTGTGAGGCGGAGAAAAATGCAGAAAAAAAAAGATAGTTGCAACTCTCATACACGACACGCTCTTCTCACACATATTGAGAGTGTGAAAGTGCAATATTTTTTTAACAAATCAAAAGATTCGAAGAGAAAAAGATTAAGGCGTTGAACCGTTTTAAACAAGCAAAATTCCCAAACACTGAATCTAATATATTAAAATGATGTGTTAAAACAAGAGATTTTTGCATTTTTGGAGAAGAATAAATTTATATATTTATCTCAAAACTTTAATTATCAAGATTAATAATAGAATAATTATGAAAAGGTGAAGGAATGCTTATTTGGATAAAAAAACTAATGTCTCCACCAGAATTTTAAGAGAAATGGATGTAAAATTCAATAATTTGACAATGGTAATAGCTATCAACTCGTGGTTGTCCCCAATCTAAAGAACAAAACGTCAAACGTCATTTTATCTGATACTATATAAAATTACGATACAGAAATGTGATTCAGCTAGAGGGACTGCAGATTTATAGTTCAATGCATGGTTCATGTGATTGTATTCTCATATGTCAATGTTGAGTAAAGAAAATCACGTATCTATTCGGCTAAATTCTACAGAATTCTGTTGATGTTTACTAGATTTTCTTGAAATGGATCACCGTTTTCATGTATTTTTTTAAAAATTTTTTGCGAAAAGAATGAGTTTTAAAATAAATTTGTCTTATTTAATTGTAGAGAAAAGGATGTTCGAAGTTCTTTTCTTTCGATTGTTGAATACCAATAGATCAATAACTGTTGCCATTGTCGAGTTATTGAGTTTACAACCATTTCTCTTTAATTTTGGTACGAACATTAGTGGCATAACCAAGGGTGAACTAGACTGAGTGCTACTGTACCACCAGAAAAAGGAAAATCATTGACATTATATTTCACAGACTTTTCTCGAGATCGTAAGGTACTATCCAACTATTCATGATCTTCTGGTTTATTTACTACAACAAATAGTCAATTTAAAGAACCATTGGTTAACTGTTGGTACTGTCTATTGTTAAAAAATTGAAAAGAATTCTCGACAACACGAGATGATTGTTTTGAAAATCTGTTAGTGAAAAAGAATCATTTTGAATTTTATTATTTTAATTTTATAATTCATATGCACTACGATATCTACTTTAAATAAGAACCAATCGGAGTTTATGTTGTCTATGGTTTATGATTACCCTATCGCACCAGATGTCCGTTCGGTCGAGATTTGACTTCGTTTTCTTTAATAGTTTCTCTCTCTCTTTCTCTCTCTGTCTTTATAAGTATGAGTGTGTGAAGTGAAATATTGCTCTTCGTGTCGGTTCACTGGCGCAACAATCAGCACCAGCCGCATATGTTTCTTCAAACGTCGTCTCACTCTGTTGACCACTACTGTTACTCGTTTCTTTGTTATGTTGAAGAAAAAAAGAAAGACGAAAGACTACCGATAATGATTTGTCGTTGTTGAGTCTGTCATTGATACAAAGAAACAAAAAAAAGTCTATGCTATGAAATAAGTACCGCTATTTTAATTTGGGCATATTTGTTATCACGAAAAAAATATATAGATATGAATAGAATAACTGTCAAATAGAGGATATCGAATAAAATGACAGAGATTATATTCACCTGCAAAAATAAAATGTCAAAAATAGAAAAAAGAGCGTGCGTCGGAAATTAAACTGAAGATAGTCGAAGCCTACATAGCGTGTGCCGGAAATCGTGTTGAATTTTGCCATGCAATACACATGAAAACTCATTTCATGATCATCATCAGTCTTGATTAGACACTTAAATATGAAAGCGAAAGTCAATGGTGGTTGTGCTTGATTGCTTTCTACTGTGCTTGTTTGATCGTCCACGACCAGCATCTTTATACAAGAGAATAAATGAGAAAAAATAATAAAAAAAACAAGGCGGTTCTCACTCATTAATTCAATCATGATGACACCTATACTTTTCCCGTAACGTACCATTAACCACCTTTATTTTTTTTTTCAATAAACGCGTATATGAAAGTAAAAAGTAAAAACAAATAATCATTGGGTTGTTTTTATTTAATAAAACAAAAAAGAAAAAGAAAACATAGAAAAAAAAAACTATATTGTATCATTATCATTTACACTAATGTCATCTGTGATCGGAGTTATTTTAGTAGTTACAGTATATGGCATGTGTATGACTGTATTAAGTGCTTCAGGTACAATATTTGATTGTTTATTATCATCAATAGGTTTAATTGGTTCTGATTCTATATTCAATGAAGGATTATATCTTGGTTGAAACTGTTGTATCACGTAAATCTATGAAATAGAAAAGATAAAGATAAAGATAAAATGATTATTTTATTTCGTTTTGTTTTTACTAAATCAGTTTTAAGTAAAGGAAATGTTCGTGGTGGGCTACAAATAACAACACGTTTATTTGATTGTGATATCGGACCAGTAGAAGAATTATCATGACGACGATAAAGACCAAGACATAGCCAGTCTCGATGAATTAATAAATTAACAAATAAATCTCCATATGTTGGATTCTAAAAAGAAATATTTTTTGCTTTTGATTAATTTAATTCATAACAATAAAAATAAAAATAAAACTAAATACTAACATCATCCCAAAATGTATCCATCATAATAGAAGAATTTTGTTGTGTATTTGTTGTATCAGCAATAATAAGATTTTCAACAGGTAATAGAACAACACGTGGACGTCGTCGATTATTTAGTACTTCTTTTGAATTAGAACCTTGTGTCATACCTGCACCTTCGGCTAAGATCTTTTCTAATTCTGGTGTTGCACCTCCAGTTATTAATGCTACAAAAAAATAAAATAATAAGAATTTATAATATCTAACTCATTTAAATAATTATACCTCGAAGAATAGTTAAAGCATTTTCATTAAAATAAGTTGCACTCATTAATGAATCGAGTACACTAATTGCAAATGATGTTCCACATGCAAATGGTTGTGTCATATATAGATCAATATTTGGATCATCATCATCATCTTGATCAAGAAAAACAACATTTGTATCATTTTCTTAAAAACAAAACAAAACAAAAAAAATAAAATAAAATATTAATTTTTTTCATTAAAATGAAAATATACGAACTAAGTTCTGTTATAAGTGGAATTGATATTCCACTACGCCTATCTGTTGTTGTACATTCAGTGTCAAAACTCATTGCTTTTATATTTAATGAACAAAGTATTGCTGCTTTATCAGTTAAATATCGATCTTGTCGTTGATCATGATGGGATGCTGATGATGATAATATAACACACATATCGCATAAATGTATATTTGTAGCACGTAATGTGGCACGATCATTTGGTGAACCCTTGAGGATAATAATATATATATATATATATATTAAATAAAATAAAATTATAACATACATCCACAACATAAACTTTTGGAAAGTTACATATATGTCTCCATTCTTTTCTTAAAAAAATACTATTACCAATAAATACAATTGGTTTAAGTTCATGTTCATCAAAATTTGATGCACGTAATGGCATAACAAAACTACGTAAACCAATAACAGGTGATGATTCTTCAGCAAATATACAACAAATAACATGATGTGATAATTCGCATTTAACTCGAATATCCTTAAAAAAAGTTTTTTTTTTTTGATATGCTAAAATAATGAAAAAACCAACAAAAAAAAATTATATTTCATACAATTGTTTGTTGTTCTATAGTTAGTGTTGGACACCAATAAAACATTCCAGTTGTATCGAAACAAAATGGTTTTACTGCATATTGAATGGGTGGATATTGAGATCTACAGTTAATAATAGAAATTATTTTATTAGATTACTAAATCAATTAACATACGTAGTAATACTTTCAGAACGTGGTCTTGACATTTCACGTCCTTAATAAATAAATACCGAAAAATAAAATATATATAAATAAATAAATGCTTCAATGACATACGTGCTTTCACACCACTAGATGTATCTTTTAAATATAAAAAGAAATAAGACAATGAATGTAAATAGAAAAAATTAAAGTCACATTCTCTCCTCAAAAATCGATTTTAGATACAGTATATGGAATTTTTATAAAAATTGCTGAAGATGTTCAACTAATGAAAGTACAATATTAGAGAACGTTTTCATGACTTCAGCCCTTATCATTCAGGAAATTTCCAGAAGTCATAGTGCATATAAGACTTTCGCTGTACGAATGATTTTTCAATACAGTTCTGACTACGGCGCTCGGGCTAGTCTCATTTCTCAAAGGGAACTCTTTACTGTTTCGGACGAGGAAGAAGATTTTTTAATACTTATTTTAGTTCAAACTTGAGCCCCTCAAAAACCTACAACTCAAAAAATATTAGGCCATGTTTTCTCGAAAATACATGATGAATTTGATATTGAGGACGGAATACAAAAATCTTGTCCCTCAATTGAAGGTGAATGTATCGATCTATCGAATAAAAAAATAGCGTAGTTCACTAGACCATTCATCATCACAAAGAAATTTGTTTGGAATTCGATAATTTATTTCAAAAACTTATGTCGAGAAAAACATGCGAACATTATTTTTTGTATATTTATCTAAAGAATTTTATCTAAGATCTTATCGAGTGGCTTTTGAAAGACACGTAGCATTACAATAAGAAGCCATAACTGCAATAACAATTATGATTTTCCCATGAGTATGGCAGTGAGCTTTGTGCTGGAGAACTCCGAAAATTCGTTATAAGATCTGAAGGAATTTTTTAAAATTGAAAGTCATTGTTATGAATTTTCAAACTAGACAACTCTAGGGTCATGCCTATATGTTTATTTAGAGAAGTGTCTTTTTTGTTTTAGAAAAATCGATTTTTTTCAGAAGAGAGTGTGGAATGAGGCCATAATATGATTTACCTTCAATACGATAATGAATACATTTACGAATAGCTTCAGGTTGTTGTTCATGGTGACAATGACGACAATAATAACGAGCTCTAGATGAAAGAAATTAAAGCTTTGATTATTTTTTTATGAATATATGTTTTGTGAGTTTTATTGTCCATTGTTTTCCACCGTCATAAACTCTAATAAGGATTTAAATAATCATTTGAATATAAAAACTCAAGTTTTTCAGTTCCACGAATTTACAAATAAAATTCTGTTTGAATTATCCAGAATGAACTATCTTTCAGCTTTATATAAAGTTTTTTGAACGAACTACATCAGCTATATAGAAGGCATAAAAATGGTGTTTTCATACGAAACAACAGAAAATACGACTTTTGTACCTTCTGTATGATTGACGTATCTCGGTCAATAATAAATGTAATTCTCTACTCGAATCACTATTTGAATTCTTATTAGCTTGTATTAGTTATACGTAAAAAAACTCTCAGATTAGACAGAAAATCATTCTCTCAAATTTTGCTTTCATTAACTTTAAATATAGAAACAAGGAAAGATTCTTCAAATATAAATGTCATAATTAGAAAGAAAATTACCTTGATGCTTCTTCTGAACTCCCAGCTAAAAAGAATCCTCTTGTTCGTTTAGCAATTCTGTAATATTTTGATGTTCGATCAGGATTAATAGCTAATCTTCGTTGTCCATTTTCTTCACAAACTTCAATAGCAAATAAAAGTATATCAAGTTCAACCAAACAAAATCTAGAAAATTTTTAATAAAAATATGAAATTTCATTCAAATTATTTTTTTTTGTCTTTCTAACCTAGCAGCTTCACTAAAATTTTTTAAATCATGTACAAAATAATTTGATAATGTTTCTGTATACATTTCAAGCGAAGCACCTCGAAGATATTCTTTTAACCAAACAGATCCACTTGGTGAACCCTAAAAATTTTGAAAAATAAATTCTTAATTAATAATGCCAACGAAAAAAAAAATTAACAAGTTTATTTTCATGCAATAGCAATGTGGCAAATACAAAACTACAAACAATTTTACCTTTTCAGTTAATTTTCCAGCTACCTAAAAAAAATTGTTTTTGTTTTTCTTTCTTTTTTTGTTTCATCTATCATTTCTTATATTTATATCAATCTAAACTCATTAAATTTTTGAAATCTTTACTTACTTCTGTATCTGAACGCATGGCAAAAATATTAGCTATCATTGTTGAAAACCCTGGATTAAGACAACTTTCAGCAATCAGACCTAGTTTTAACTCTAGGCAAAAAAACAGATGTAGACAAATCTAACAACCAAAGAAAACAACATATTTTTGCTTATCTGCTTACCAGCAATGCATACAGCTTCATCTGTATTATTATTCCATGCTGGGATATTCATTAAATGCATCTATAAAATATGTTATACATATCAAAAAAACAAACGACAATTCATGTTATTTTTATCAATACTTTATTATGATATTGCAAAAGTTGAACAATTATTTTTGCTTCTGAATGATAATTTTTAATACTAATCACACGCATAATATTACTTGCATCTTCCCCATCAGGATCAATAGCATCTTTATTTGCTAAGATCAAAACAGCTGCACATCGTTTTAACTAATTTTATTTTTTTAAAATGAAATCTTGTTTTTTTTATTTTCAAAAATTATAATAAAATTTAATCGATTACTTTGACGCGTTCTAAATCAACAGGATCCATAACAGTGGCATCAAAAAATTTGACACGTGTAAAATGACGTTTAAGTAATGCTTGAAATTCAAAATCAACTGAATGTTTTCTATATACATATATTAGAATAATAAATAACGAAAAATAAATTTTTTTTATCTCTTATTACTTATCAACAATAAGTACATCAGCATCATAAAAACTATCTGAACTAACACGATCTTCATGTAAAAAATCTTTAAGAAAATTTTCCATTGATGTAAATGTAATATGACCACAAACAAGAACAAATCTGAAATTTTTATTTATTGTTGTTTTTTTTTTCTATATAAATAAGAATTCTATTTGAATATTATTTTCCTACTTTTTGCCATTTTCTAATCTATATTTTCCAGCATATTTTTTTTTATTTGATAACATTTCTGCTAATTCTGGTATAGCACGTGCAAATAGTGCGAGACCACCTGTTATGAAGAATATTATAAAACATTGACCAATCATCTATGGAAAACAAATACATAGTTATACATCGATTGTAGAAGATACCTAAAAGAAAATTACACTTTTATATACGTCATTGAGAAGAATTAAAATTTAAGAACAATTTAAAATTTCCTTGAATAATAATAAACATACATTTATTTCTATTTATAAGTATTTTATATTAATATAAATATTATTATGTTATCTTTGGAGAATAACGGATAGTCTATAGAGAATAAACCTATCAGTACTTTGCATATCTCTCAACAGCCTTTCAACATAACGAGATAGTTTTTATTTTGATTGATTTTCTACAAGTTTGCATCTTTTACTTACACGGAACAGAATATCTTATTTGTTTAGAGCCAATGAAATGAATAGATTTATAATATGTTACTTTAGAAATTTGTATTTTTTGTTTCTTATCAAGTTTTTTTGCATTGGTCTTTGTCAGTAATTTTATCAATCTTTCTGTTAGTCATACAATATTTTCTGATCAATTATTAAGTTGAAATGAAATCTAATGAGGTTTTTGGAAATTTTGAAAACTTAATTATTATTGTTAATCAATAGGATAAATATTTGCACAACTTCTTTGAAACTTTGTGCATATCGATCATTCTAGACACACTTTTCGTTTTTGATTATTCATAAAGGAATATGGATCATTTTTAGTATCGAGAAAAAGTATTCCGAGAGTTTGTTTTTCAAAAAAAAAAAAAAAGCAACACTCTTTTCTGTGGACCCAAAAGAACAAAAATACTAAAGATACTCATATATACAAATTTGTAAAGCAATTGTGGTAATTTCTACCGTATTGATTAACAATAAGAATTACGTCTTTGACTGGACTAGTTATTCGTTTCATTGTGTCTAAATAAATACAGGATTCCATTCCATTTAAGTAAAATATGCAAATTTTGTAGAGAATCGAACGAAGAATCGATCAAAACAAATATATGTTATTCCACTATGTTAAAAGTCAAATGAAAAGACAACAGGTAATAGTGAAGATAAAAATGAATCCAAAAAAAAGCAGAAGATCTAGTTGATAATGAGAACAAACTGTTCTAATCTAACTAGAAATACTATTTATCTAGAAAATAAATTCTAATTGCTTCTTCTTTTTCTCTATTAAAACAAAGGACGAAATTATGGCATTATATACATTATGTTTCCCTAAAAAAGAAATAGAAATAAATGTATGTTGATCTGTTATTTAGAAGAATTCAAAATTGATTTATATGAAAAATTAAAATTATTATTTGCTCGTAGGAAATTTTAAATTGTTCTAAATTTCAATTTTTCCAATAACATATACAATCACATTCACACGCGCATAGACATTCATTTTGTACTAACTAATACGAACTGTTCTCAAGTGGTAATCGCCGTAGCCAACAGTGCTGAAAAATAACAATTAAATACATATATATATTATTATTAAAAAAAGAATTGAAAATTTTAGGTTTTTGTGTTTTTTTTTCTAGAATGAATACAAGATACCGGTAAATCATAAATGTGATCCTAGTTAAGAGACGTATGTAAAAGTCTTTTCGAAGTAATACAAACTATGTTTGTTAGATTCGGCTAGAAAAAGATAAATGGGTACGCTTTAACTTTGTTACTAAATAGAAATAGATTTTCTTTTTTTTTTTTTATTAAAAAAGATTCTTTATTTAGTCTACAACGAAATGTTTTATTGAAAAGAGAAAACTTTGAACATTATTATTTTTCTCGAGATTAATCTAAGTATCAAAACTAGTTATTAAATGTAATGATTATCTTTAATCAACTAGAAAAGACAGAAATGCTCGATAAAACTAGATGATCTTCAAGTGTCATGCAACTGCCAAATGCGGTACGGAACTTCGCATGTCGATCATGGGAAAAATTGATATCTCATTAAAAAAAAATGATTAATTGTTTCTATAATTCATTATACAACGGTTCACTACTCAAGATATTTACAGTTCATACCAACGAGTTTGTTGTCTATCGTTCTTATTGAAAGTTTGAATTATCTCTGTTTCGATTAACCAAATGATTGAAATACGAAAGGAATGGCGCAATACATTACTACGAAAACGATTAACGTATATCAACATATTTGCACAGGACGTAGTGAATTTATCGCTTAATTATCTATATGATCCATTAGCTATTATCAATTTCCCATATAACCCTGTTGAATTAAGTCAACTTGTCATCGTTCTAATGATGTCGAAGCTTGAAAAAGAATTAAGTCAATAAAAATTTGCCTTTTCGTTTAACTTTCTCTAAATGAAACATCCTGTTGAAGATTGGAAAACGAATATTATAGATTCTATTATGAAACTTCATCATCACACTTGAATTAGTATTTTCTAATTTTTTGTTTTCGAAATCATTCCGACCGATTACGAGTACTTTGGATACGTACATCTAATAAGTAAAAGAAGAACAGAAAACTCTCAAAGGACTATATAAAGATGGTGCGAAGCAATCTTAAATTTTGACAATCAAGTTTATATTAACATAAGAATGATAAACAAATTAATCTAGAGCTGATCTTGTTCTGTCGAAAGCTTTCATTGTCGTTTCTGCTCATAACAGTTAGCAAAAGACTAGCTCATCACTTTTAATTATCTCATGTAAAAGATAGAGGTCAAAGTGCCATTTTGCAGAACTTACTAATAATGAAAGAAAATCCAAATTGAAGTTTCAAAAACATTTGGTTCATCTTAAGATATCAATCTCATCTTTTATGAAGTTCGAACGAGCTTCTAGCGATTTGCTGTTGTCTAGATCTGATTATGAGACAAAAAAGAAACAGATTTTGCGATAGTGAAAAACATACAAAGTATGGAGATCGAATGTGTACGCCAGCGGACTACAGAAATGTTCTGCTTCGCATTGTACTAATTAATCCATCTATCAAAAGCTAGATAGAAATTCTTTTGATAAAAAATTTAACTCTATACAACTTAAATAACTTGATAAAAATAGAACATACAAAAAAGGATTCTTCTCTTATATTTGTTATATTTTTGAAGAGAAAATAGTCCATTGTTCAGATGAAACAGAAAGTTTAGAATATATTAACTAAATCAGGCATTGAATGAAACAAGTGGAAGATCAAGCATATGACACAATAAGAGAACAGAAAAATAATCCTTCTTTTGCATTCTACTAATGTAAATGTTAATGAGTCTCAATCTCTAGTATCATTTTCATAGGATAAGGACATTTCATAGATCGAACTATTTATTCATCATTATTCATACCTCATTGTGACGACAAGAAAATAGACACATTGGAAATAAGTTATTGGTTGTGAATTCGAATAATCTTGAAAGAAATCACCTGAATTTTCCACCTATATATATTTCATAGAAAAATCATCGTTTTGGTTTATTTATTGTTTTATAAAAGAGCAATAATAATACCAAATGAACAAATCCAGCTGCTGATAACAATACAGTCAACAGAAGACATAACACGCGTGTTAATCGAATTGAATTACTACTGCGAAGTATGTGTAAAAATTGAAGTATGTCAGGAATATTCATAATACGTGCAATACGAAAAAACCGCATTCCTATTAAAATAATTAGTATGTAATAAAATATAATCTTTACATACCAATCCAATTTCTTCCAAGAACAATAGCAGTAAATGATGGTGGAATAGTAAAAAAATCGACCCATGAATGAATATCCAAACACCAAAATCGAAGTTTATCTTGTGCAGCAACAAACTATTAAAATAAGATAAATATTTTCCTTTGTGGTTTTATGTTTTTTTAATTAATCAATAAATCATACTCGAAGAAAAAAATAGAAAAGAAAAAATATATTAAAGACTAAATCGATTTGTTGTGTTGGGCTTTGTGACCATAATTGACATGATTCAATTGGTCTATAGAGAACAAAAAAAGAAACGATAAAAAAAACATATCACATAAATCTATATATTTTTTCGATTTATCTTTACTTACTGTGTGTTTACATCATAAAAATAAATAAATAACGAAGCTAAACTCAAGATAACCACAGTCACAACCTATAAAAGATATCAGATAAATCAATCATTTTGTTTACTTTTCTAATATTTACAAGAATTTTTCCAGGCAGCTGTTGACCAGATATTAGTTTAGCTGCATATTCTTTGATTATCGTTGCCCAATTACGTTCATTAATTGCATCAAATGAATATGATATTTCTTGTTTATCAGGATTTGATACTAATCGTAATGATCGATGTCTCATTGTTGGTCCGCGCTTATAAATTAAAGCACCACAACGCCAAAGAAGAATAGCAATAACACCAATAAGAAATGTTGCAAGACTTGACAAAAGAAAAGCAAACCAATAACGTTCGCCTGAACATGAATCAGCTAAACTTGTTTTACTAATTGACGTATTACTGTTATTCGTATCCATTGATGAATATTAAAACGTTATTTACTAAATCAAACAAAACAGAAATAAAAAACAAAAAAATGTGTCGCCTTAGATGTAATGTATACACAATAGTGGTTATTAAATAGTTTTTTTTATTGTATTATTTCCTTCGGCAAAACAAGTCCAAGAGAAAGTCAATTAATATTATTCTAATTTAGTCCAAGGTCCAAATAGAAAAAAAATTTTTTGTATATATGAATATCAAATCTTTTCTGATAGTCCTCGACTTTTTTTGTCTCCTCAATCATCAAATAAAAATAACAACTATGACAAACCTTTGAGCATTAGCTAAATATTAGACAATTTCTATAATAGCTTGAATCTTGTTGGCAGCTGTCTACAACATGAAAGAATTGTGAGAAGAATCATACTTAGAGTAAAAAGAAAGATATACGAAGCGATAGACGAAGAAAAGGGACCTCCCCCTCTTTATTGGTAATAATGCATAGGCATCATTTGGTGGAATCATACAGCCGTTCGCGCCCAGTAGCAATGTTTTAACAGTAACCGCTTTTCTCCTCCCGCGCCTTATTAATATGCTTATACGATGGCAAAACTATAGCAGTAACATCAGAAACAACAACAACAACTCGACACCGGTCTTTTCTCCTTCAATGCACAAAGTGGAAAGAAAGAACAGCAATTACTCGAACTCTACTGCCAACAGAAGAAAACACAAATGAATCTGTAAAAGCAAACAGAACAAGAACAAGAAGGAGAAGAAAGAGACGTAGAAGAAGATACCATGATATCATCTCTTTCTTCTTAGGTCATATTTCTATATTAAATGTATTGGATTCTTCTTCTTCTCTTTTTTCTTCCATTTCCATTTATTCCATTCACAACAAGGACATTTATGCGAGAAAATAACCGTGGAAAATAAATAGCACTTATCTATTATTCAATCGTGTATATTTCCATACAACCTAAGACACGAACCTTTAAGACTTCTCTTTAATGAATAATAATATATTCATGTTGAATGTTTCATATTTATATATAATCATGTCAAATTGTCTCCAATCAATTCTTATTATTGAGATAGAAGAAAAAAAGAAAGAAAACTACAAGCAACTACAAAGACATTCTTTTTTTTATTTCATTATGAATGTTATCTTATCAGTTTTCTTTTGTGTTTATGGCGGACAAGAAACATCTGAATCACATTGCATTTTCATAAAATTATATCGAAGACCTCTGGGACATGATAGTGTTGATAGAGTTAAACCAGTGCATTGAAAATATCGACCAAATTTACAATTTATTGGATCAGCATATAAACCTGGAGCTGGACATGAAAAATATGCTATAATAAAATAAAAACAAAATGTTTTGTTTTTCTATAATTTTATTATTGATTTTTTTTCTATTTACGCGTTTGACAACATTGATCAGTAAAACCTGATGGACATCGACAATAAGCAAAAACTGCTGCACCATTTACTCTTTCTTCACAAGTACCACCATTTTGACACAAGCCAGGTGTACATCGACCAGGTACACCTAAAAGAAATAAAATTGTTGTTCAATTAATTTCAAAAAGAAAAATCTTTTTTTATTTTTTCTTACCGACTAATTCACAATTCGGACCAGCGAAACCTGTTGAGAACGAAAAAAAAATTCGATGTTTATTTATTTTTTCCTCCAAATTCAAAATTTTAATACCATTTAAACATAAGCATTGCATCTCAACTCCATTTTCAATTGATGGTACTGGATTACAAACACCCCCATTAGCACATGTTACATTTTGACAATTTGTTTGAACTAGAAAATTAATCACTTTTAGATAAATATTAATAGAAAGTGAAATTCTACCAGGCGGTGTCTCACAATAACGACCTGTAAAACCAGCTTGACAAATACATGTATCTGTTGCCGTATTATAAGTACCTAATTATGTCAATATAAAACGTGATTATACTATGTAGATCTTGTTCTTTTGCTTACCACCGTTGAGACAGAAACCAGACGGTGGTGGTGTCGTTGTCGTTGCTGGATTAGCATCTATGTTTATATAAATAGTTATCAATTATTCTTAGTAATTTCTTGAAGTTATTTTATCTCTTATAGGAACTCCATTAAAATAGTGGTGGTTCGAAGTAGTCAGCATTGGGAGGAGGGATAGGCCTCTCGATTCTTTTTGCAAAGAAAAAACTACCTGTCTTCCAACTGAGAAAAAACAAAAATTTTCTTCGATTGAGAGAGAAATTTTACACCTCCAACACTTCCTCTTCTCAGTCAGACCACTACTGAATTAAAACTACATGTTATTTTTTTTTTACTTGGACATGGACCAGGATTAAGATAATTATTTGTTCCATTACTACAACCACAAGCATAATATAAACTTTCAAAAAACATTCTTTCGATACAAACACCATTTGTACCACAATTAACCGATTCACAAATACCTATAATGATTAGTTAAATTATTATAAATTTGAAATCTTATTGAACAAAATTCTTACGACAACGAGTATTTATTTCTACATGACCATCAGGACATGTACAAACAACATTATTAAAATTGTCTGTTGCTTGTATACATTGATAATTAGGTGGTACAAAATTACCGCCTAACTCACAAGGATTTGTATTACATTGAACTATATAAAGGATTTACAAGATTAAACTAGCTAAAATATGATCATTATATTAACCTGCTAATGAAAATTTCATTGATGTAAACATTATCAATATCAAAGATATTATACGATGCATTTTTTTACTGGTTTTATTTTTTGATTTCTACTCTAAAGGAATATTTTGATTTTTAAAAAAAAACAATATTTTATACTTCCACTTTTTTGTTCCTACGCAAGTAAATCAGACATAGAGATCCTATTTCATTGTGATATTTTCACCTTGAAATGTAATGATGATATTAATCATATTTGTACATGATCATATATTGACATCAACAAAACAATACATTAAATACCTTGAGTTATGTGTATCATATGATATCAAATTTAGACTTTGTTTTCATAACTATTGATAAGCCATCGTAAGAAAAAGGTCGAAAAATAAGATTTTTCAATGCCTCGGCATGCAAATAATGATTCATAAAAATGAAACAGAATATTCACGAAGCTTTTTTTTTGAATATCTAAAAACCTTTTGCATTATTTTACATCATATATTGATTCAGTATAACATGATAGATAAGATAGATATTCGATTGATGATAGAAAAAGACGGATGGATTATCTAACTATATTTCTGTCAATCAGCATATTTACATAACTTAGGATTGTTTTCTTATTGTGTTTTAATTAATCTAACTTTATTTCTGTCAATCAACACGTCCATATCATTCAGGTTGTTGTTTATTGTGTTTTAATTATTTGATTTTATTTTTTTTTATATTCTATTATTCATCGATCTATTTCATTATGTAAAAAGATTATATTTTATGCAAGATAACTCAAAAATAACTTTCTCAGATGAACTTCAACATATATATATATATACATGACAATTTATTCATATTATTAATGTTTTTGTCATCCGTAATACATAAGTGTTTCTAGCTGATATTCATTGAAAAGAAGAACATTATAATAATATAATCCTACGCATAATACAGGAATTTTTTTGGACACAGTTGGTTTTTGCATGAATATAGCCTACAAACAAATAAATGATGATGTGGGATTAAAAACAAACAAACTATTATTATGAATATATGGAAATTTCTTTGTTTGACTAAATTAACTAGCCAATCAATCAATCTATTCAATAAATACATGTTCAATTCAAGTTGAATAAATATTTTCAAATACTAATCAACGTTTTTCATTTGATTCAAGTCGCTTTAAATTTTTTTCAAGTTCTTTCTAAACATACAAATACTCATATATATATATATATGTATGATTAAAGAAAATAAATATGATACTTTATATTCTTCATCAATACGTTGACATAAATTTTTCATATAAATATGATCATTAAGCATAACTATTTCACTTCCAGTTAAATCTCGGATTCGTTCAGCTACATTTTTTTGTAGTTGATTATTTCTATTTAAAAAAAAATATCAATGAAAATGTCTTATTAATTACAATGAAAATTTCTCACTTTGGTAATCGAAATGGAATGGCATTTGCTCGACGAATTTCATCAAGTACATTTTTTTTATTGAAATCTTTAAGAATCTCTTCAATGATTTCTAAACGACGTTCTTCACTCAAACCGCTTGGTATAACTTTCGGTATTTCCATAGGTTTTTTCTGATGTTGATGATTTTTTGTCAATGAACTTTCCTCTCCAATAAAATCATCTTGTCGTTCAGAAATTATTTCGATTCTAATTTTCATATAAAAAGAATTTATTTTTTTTAAAATTCGATTAAATATTGATCATACTGAAATGGTATTTTATCAAGTAGTTCATCAGTTATTTCTTCTGAGATTGATAAATTGTTATTATTGGTAATTTGTTTATGTAATTTTTGTAATTGAATAATATTTGCACTTGGCAATTGTAGAGATGGATCATAAATTGATAAAAAACGAGTAGCTCGTCTAGAGGGTTTCAAAGATGATGGTGATTTTTCTTCTTGTTGAAGTTGTTCTTTGTCTTGTGAAAACTGTAATTTTTGACGCTGACGTCGAGCATTATGTGTTCCTAGTGGCATAATTTCATTTTGAGTCTCTTGACTTTCGACATTTACACTGTCCATTACAATTCGTAGAAATTGTCTATGTTATCAAAAGAAATATTGAAAAGGGTAGTTCTCTGCTATTTTTATAGCATATTGATAGATGATAAAAGAACAAAATAGGATATTGCATTTCACAAAAACAAAAAAACAAAAAACAACTGTTTAAACTTCTGTCATTTTCTATGGCAATAATATATAAATGCGTCTTTTCTTTTTGTTATATAAAAATGTATTCAATTGATTAGTGTTACAATAATTTTATTACGAGAATAAGAACTCATAGAATTTATATTATTGTATTTGAATGACAAATGTTAACATATCAGCTAAGAATAATTCATATTAATCGAGAAACTTAGACTACATCATTTTCAATTTGATATATCAAGTGTATGTTTCTAATTAACACGGGATTTTTAATACGCCGATGTTTTCTCTTTTGTATTTTAATGAAACAGTGAACAAATAAATTCTATTTAATGACTGATTAGGTATATGACTTATCTAACTATAAATGAAAGAAGTTTTGTAGAAAGCTAAAAATATAGTCGAGTTATGAACGGTAGAAAGAACTCTATATATTGAAATCATACTAAGTGCAATATCCGCGATGGGAATGCTGATGTAGTTGCATCGAATTAGAACGGGTCACTGCAAATATAGAGAAGAACATTCTTCTTCTGTATATTTAGAGTGATCCGTTCTAATTTGGTGCAAGTTTTGCGTTAGTGTTCTTGTTGCAGACGTTGCATTTGCTATGAACTCTATGAACACAGTTCATTCTACAGTTCATAATTCGATTATATTTCCACCTCTCTAAAAACTTCATCCGTCAATAGATTGATAAGCTATGTATTTAATCAATCGTCTAATTCAGTTCATTTGTTTACTGTTTTGCTAAGATAGTCAAGAGAAAGTATGAGCATATAAAAACCACGTTCTAACTCGGAACATACACTCTATGTTGTACGTGATGGATAATATTTAAATGAATAACTACAAGCTATGTCTAGCAAGTGAATATGTGAGTGGATTGCAAATTTATTGTATTGTAATATTCTAATATGAAAAAGTTCCATATTTTGAGTTTTGTTTTCAATACATTTTGATGATTTTGTTTTCAGACTAGACGTCTCTAATAAATTCTAAAACCTGCTTAGAAAATCAGAACTTTGTCTTGTGAGTTTCCACTGTCCATCAACTTTATGCTGCTTTATAGAACTCAATAAGCTCATCACGATGGCAGAACGTATGCTTTCTTATGAAATCTCCTTGAGGAATAAGGTTAGCCTCAATTAAAAAAAAAAAGACGTGTAATCGATTATTTAGGAAATTTTAATTTTTATGTTGGTTTATAGTTTTCAATATTAAAAATTTTAACACTTGATGTGTCTTAATTGACTGGACACATCCACATAATCAAAATGAATGGAACTCCTAACAATGTCTATACTTCGACTATTTCAATGCTCTTGAGATTGTCGATGTACTGAGTTGAACTATTTTATCAACATTCATTCAATTTCATTTGTATATCTTTAATATAGTTTTCTCGAAGAGTTTTGATCAGACAGTTGAATATGTTCCCTCAGAAGATGTATTTTGTGTTATAGTTTTCAATACTGAAAACTAAACTAACATAAAAATTAAAATTTTCTAAATAGCAAACTGCACTCATCTTTCTGAAGTTGAGACCGTCTTTACTATTCAAACGTAATGGAGACTCACACTTGGAAACTTTCATTCGTTAGATAAATTCGAAGATACTAAGCAAAGAAACTTGAAAAGATCAATTTTTGCTGCCATCTACTGTTAAAACATGTATAACCAATTTCTTAATTTTCGAAGTGGGCAGAATTAGTAAAAACAGTTTGCACTTTTCGAACGTAAAATTGATTAGTGCTCTTAATAAGATTTTTTGATTTTTCTGTCATGTGAGATTTAACAATTCACCTAAAAACAATCGGCTTATTGTTGAATGAAAGCTAATCAATAGGAAATAAATCCGTAAAGCACAAAACAAAACTAAATCGTCTTATTTCTTGTTTATCAAAAACCTGTAAAAACAAAGACTTGAAAATTTTATTGACATGCAAAATGTCGCGGTAGATTTTGCATTTTGTTTGACCTATAATCCCTTCCAAGTATTGCAGCTACACTTGAAATGAAATTTGAAGCATTTTATATCGACTCATGGCGATTAATCACCATTGACAATATCAATGTGACAGAGAACATTTGGTTCTTAAGATCAAAAGAAAGTATTATCAATATGTCATGCAAGATTATAATTTGTAAAATACTTCACATGTAAAATCAAAATAAATATATCACATATTACGTAGATTTTTATTTTGAGTACTGTCACAATTACTACAAACTGGTTGTAGATTGCGTTTTATGCAATTGATTTTGTATCGATAGCATCACCTCATAAAAATATAGCTTAAAGTACATAATCAATTGTATGTTCTTAAGATATGTCAAACTTTTAGTCTCAATGATACATCATGACACGTAAACAAAGTTGTTTCTACCTAGGATTTCAAGTATTTCTAACGAATTTTGAAAAGAAACTTTCATATTTCTGCATTTATTTGACAAACATGTATTGAAGAACTGTATTCAGTCATTTTATCAGTTTTGAACGATTGCCATATATCTCAGCTATAACAATACTGATATTTTGGAAACGTTTATTCATTTTCTCGTTTCTTATAATACAGTAAAACATAATACATCTTATCTTTAAAATTGCAAATTGTTTTTTTTTGTTTGTTTTCTTTTCGAAATGTTGCAATAATATTTAAATTTATTCATCTATTTAGGATGATGGATAAAGTACAAACACATATAAAAAGATTTAATATATATAGAATATTTCCATTAGTTTAATAGTCAACGCAGAAATCATTTATTATTATACCATGACGTATACCTTCGAATATCTTATACTGTATACAATGGAGTGATGAAAGCAAAATAAATCTATATTAATTTTGTTAGAAAAATATTTTATAGGTAATAAAATAATGAATTTATTATTACTTCCTACTAGTAATTTAAGAATATAAATCTATTTTGTTGTGATGTTTACTTTCTCAATAAGCACTGTATATATTTGATAATATATATCAGACGAAAGTCTGTATAATTGTGAGAGATAAAGAGTTTTTAAAGGTCATAGTGACTCACATCAAGTGGTCATCAAGTGTTAATCTTTAATTGAGCTGATATTCTTTCCATTCGTAGGACTCGATGAAACTAGTTGCAACCTGAAATGAGTAATTCTAATGTTTACTCCTTGCTCAAACCTTATAATCGTTTTACTAAATTTTTTTATCTTCAACAAGATACTTATGAAGAAAACGAATTAAAGAATCTCAATCTGACGATTGGTCTATGAATACGTCTCATAGTCATTAGAATGCTCTAAAACAGTGCAGTAGAAATGGATGTGTTCTTCTTATAATATTGCATATTCCAGCAACGATCATGTATTATAAGGTGAAAAAAACCGAATTTCGTCAGTACTTTATATCTTAAGAAGTACATATGTTTATTCAGCTGAAATTTTCCGAGAATTTTTACGACTATGAGTTGTATGCATTGACAAAATTTTAGAACAAGATTCTTTAATTTCACTTCGTCCTAATTATTTTGTCGAAAGTAAAAATAAAATTGATTAAAGCGATAATAACTCAGAAAGGAAAGTACATGGAGATCAACCTTTCTCGAGTGCTAATAGTTTCATGGTGTCCTACTTATGGAAAGCAAAAAGTCAGCTCGATCGGCGATTCATACTTAAGAACCTTACTTCATCAGATATTGTTTGTTTTATATGAATAGATGCTTTTCTTTTTCTTTCACAGTAAACAGTAACAGATTGTATCGATGAAGTCAGTCAATCTAACCATAAAACATAAATATTTTCCCATTAATCTTTTATTACAGAAAATTGTTGATATTATATATGAGAATCATGTATTGCTATGTCAAAATAGATGTTTCTAGACATGCTATATTCGTCTGTCACCTCTTGTCAATTAAAACAGCTGCTATTCTTTCGAGAGTGAAGTTTCTTCAATTAATGAAATAAAAAAAAGAAAAAAGAAAGAAATGAAGTCGAACAATAAGGAAAACTACCTGTAACATCCGATGAAAATATACAATTGTTTTCAAACACATTTATAATTAATATATAATTAACTTGATTATTTTAATCATATGAATATTATAGTCACGTACAGTTAATATTTAACTGTAATGTATGTAGAATTTAAATAAGCCCAGTCTGGTTGTTGATGACTATTCACTTTATAGAAATCTGAGAAATCTTACATTCTTCTGCGTTTCTTTTATTTTTATATTTTGCCTCATGAAATTTTATTAAAAAATCGTCCGAAGACAAAAAATACACAACGAATCACTTCAGTACTAATCATTTAGAGGTGTTAATAAGTGTAATTCTTTTTATAGTCTACGTAAGTATTAAATAAAAACTGTTTTCTATTGTGTCAAAAACAAGTCTCGAAAGTTTTGATGAGTTTATATTTGTTGCAAAATGTTAATTAGCACATGTCTGTTGTATGTTCATTTCGATAATAATCTAATACCCGAGAGACAAAAAAAGACATTGATACTATCAATTCAATTTCTGTCTTATCTTTCTCGTTGAAGATTACTATTGATATTTTATTCAAGTGTATATAATTATTCGTTTTCTTTTTCTATTACTTTTTCGATCTTCAAGTTTCTGTTCATTGTTGTTTTATATGTATGAATAGGATGACAAGCAATCTAAAAACAGAAAAAAAGAGAAACATATTATTCGTTTACTTATTCAGGATAAATAAATACATGTTCTAAATTTCTTTTTGCTTCTAATAGAAGAGGTGTTTGTTAACTTGAAGAGCAACACATTCACTTTTTTTTCAACAAGAGTTATATTTATGCAAGTGGAGCTATATTATAAAATAATATGTAATCAAACTTTTTCTTCCTCCTTCTCTTTCTATTTTAGATTAAACACTGCAGACTAAAATGACTATGTATCTTACTCTTTTACTAGTCATCTTGATTCTTGTATTACAGGTAATGATAAAGAAGCATATTTGTTGATTATTTATATTTTAATTTTAGCAAACAATATATGTGGAATCCTCGGTTACACCGATTCAACTTGCTAATAATGAAAATCGTCGATTAAATACTATTCAACGTCTACGAGCTCCACTTATGGGTCGATCATTATTATCAGTGACACCAACAAATGTTGATGATGGTAGTTTTATAAATGATGTATCAAGCAATAGCAATACTAGTGATGATGAATTAGTTGTTCTCACTAAACGACGACATGGCAGTGTACCATTATTTGGTCGACGATGGATATTTGGAAAACGACGAGGACCACTTTATGGTTAAATACTAAACGCATAGATATTTTTGAATTGCTATAATAAAAATAAAAGAATCGATATAATTATTCATGTTAATTTTTTTTGCGACATAAAATAAGTCTATGCTCATACAATAAAATATTAAAACAGAGTATGTTTAGAGTTTTTACTTGACTACATAGACGGAAAAAATTTGAATAAAAAAATGAACAGTTAAAACGGCAATGAAAAGGCAATTAATAAATTTTAAAAGATCGAACAAATTGAACCAAGCAAATATAAAGTCAAATACGCTATTGGTTAATCTTAGAAAAAAAAAGTTTTACTGATCAAATGGTTACTGTAAATTTATTCTAATATTTAATTTATTTGATAAAAAAATTCTTTTCAAATCTCTAGACAAAAATAAATGGTAATTGATGAGATATGTGTTTCTAAACAATAGTTCAACGTAATTTTGATAGTCTATGAATATATATTAATCAAAATATTGAACTGTTAAGTCACGCTTATCATTGATATAAATTTTACAGATTTGAGATAAAACTTCATATAGAGGTTTTTCTATGCATGACTAATGATTCTGTATGACCTTCTACATAATCAACAGAAAAATTGATCACAGAAAACAAAAATAGGGGTGGGAAGTTACCGTTACCGAGCCGTTACGTTCCCAGATAACTGACAACTTTTCCGTTATCAGTTCCCGGGTAACTGGTAACGTAACGGTAGCTTCCCACCCCTACACAGAAATCAATCTCTTAGTTCAAAAATTTTATCTTATCTGTGTTCCATGAAAATATCATTTTTTGGAGAGTGATATCATGCAACCATAAACATGAATTGGATATATTTTAAGTATTGTAAAAAAACAAAGCATATTCTTTTAATATTCTTAAATAAATATGTTATACATAAATCCTTAGATGAATCGGTACTATAAGGTCACTTATGTGAAGAATCTTAAAATTGATGAATCATTTTCAAATGCTACATGCATTTGCCATAATTACTTTTGTACCAAAAATATAGTGGCAAAATGGATCTTTCATATGAATATTTAATTACATGCGAGATTTTTTCATTATATTTAAATGATTCTTTTTATAGATTACAAACTGATTAATTTGCATAAATAAGAAAAGTCATAAATTCTGAGAAACTGGCTCATAGAACAGATTCAAAACATTTATATTCAGTAGTAATAAACAATTGCTGGAAAACAAAAGAAAACTTGGGATTCAACCAATTACCACGACACAAAATGTTAATAAAATTATTTTAGAAATATGTACATGTCTCTTCAAAGATTTATAATTATTGTTTTTTGTCATTGTTTACATCATAAATACATCATCTTGATTGATGTATATGCCAAAAACTAGAGATATTATACACTTTGACTATCTAAACAATTATACTGAACATTGCAATGTAGATGTATGATTTAAGAAACACTGTAGATTCACTAAATGAAAATGGAAAACTGTCATAGATCACATAAAAAAGAGCGCAAAGTATTTCAACAAGTCCATGTAGGTTTATCCTAGCTAATAACCAGTATACAAATAAGTGATTGAATAAGAAAATATAAGATGCATACATCATTTGATATGCACTCATATCATCAATGAAAGCTTATAAACAACTTGACATTATCGACAACTTTTCTAGGGGAATAATTTTTATATACCAATTAACTAAAGGAAAAGACACACTTATTAAGGAAGAGTACTCTTGTCTTTTAACTATCTTTCACTATCAGATGCTGCATAGCGCCATATTCTCTAATGTGTTATGATTTCTACAACTAATACTAACTTTTAGCTCTAGATAGAAAGCCAACCTGATTCATAGTTCTTGCGCTGAGTTGCATAAACTTTTCATACACACTACCTAAGTACATACTACTAGTTACAATACCAAATGTATGTCTATAACATAATCAGTATATTATTGAACGGGTAGTGATATGAGACAAAGAGTCATTAATGACTTGTTGAGATTCATTCTAAAGCCAATAATATCAAGACTTAAACAAAATAATTTGTAGATACGTGTCGAACAACATAGGTAGTCAGCTATGACGGTCCATAATTACTAAGCATACACCTACAGTAGGCTAAGTCAATTTATTTAAACGAAAAAGCTTTACTAGTTAAAATAAGCATGATGTACTGAAAAGGAAGTCACACAATAAGTAGAACAAGAAGTACTTGAATAGTATTAACAATAGTATCTTCAAGATAACATTTGTTATTATTATCATTTGAAGAAATAAAAGAGCTAGTTAAGCAAATAAAAGATTGATAGTTTTGAAAAGGTATGGAAAGTAATTTCATCAAAAAGTCTTAATCATCTGTAAAAGTTAACTAGATTTACATTTGACCTATGAATCAAATTATTATCATGTTCGTTCGAGATTGTGTGACGAGAACTCTTATCTATAAGCTTTTAGGTTAAATAGAATCTACTTATATAGAATGACTTAAATCTCATAATGATGACATCAGTATGATGAGCATTCTTTTTTTGTTTTGTTTTATCCAATATACTCAAGTGGATTTCTATTTTAATAATATTAGTTGTAATGCAAACATTTCAAGGATAACAGAAGCAATAATGGTGGAAGCATTTAGATATCGATAATCATGAAATGTTGCAACTTCAAATTGCTAAATTTTTTTATATCATTCAAATGAAAATTAAAGGCTCAAATATGACATCGATAAATGCATGTGAATTAAATATTCAACAAAATAGAGCGCAATTAGTGTATGTTCTTCAATTGATATTAGATGTATAAAAAAATGATTACAACTACAGTTTAATTGATGAACAGTCATAAACATGTATAATGTATCGAATATTTCATAAACTATATCTTTTGCATTCAATGTAATAGTAAACAGTACGACTATAAAATAAAGAAAAAAAATTCATATTGAAACACTCTGAATTCAGACTTTGATAAACGATTGAATGAATAACCTAACAGACTATGTAATCACTTCAAAAACGAATATGTTCGGAATCACATGAAAAATAACTGAATATGAATCTATTCACACTATAGACTTGTATTTCGAAAAAATAGCTTCTGCAAAGCAGTTAAATGTAAAAAGCATTGGTAAAAAACTACTATGCATGGCATTAAGAACAACTTTTAGCAAAATTTCTATGAACTTTAAAGATGAAACATAATCAAGTTTTTATTATTGTAATAAAAAATATTTTTGAAATATCTCGTTGCATTTGTGTATTTTTACAACATACTTGTTATTTCTACTAGCTAAACGACGTTTTAAACATAATGTAGAACAATTCAAGTAAACAGAAGGTGATAGGACTTTTCGCAAAATATAGCACAGTGATTAACAGAATAAAAAAAGCTTTTTCCGAAAATTTTCAAAATAACGAGCAGTTGTTCAAAGATGTCCTTCTTAGTATTTCTGTAATAGCTCGATCACGTTTTTATACGTTTAAGCAAAAATTTTCTTTTTGAAATAAAAGACTCGTCATTCAATTTTCAAGAAAAACACTTATTTTTTGTGCATAAATGTTTAAAATAAGTCTTTTGTCACATGAAACACATGCTTGGCACCATTGTCACAATTTTCAAAAACAACTAGCACGTTGGGAAAATTAAATTCAAAACTAATTAAAGATCATGCAATAAATCGCACTATATTTCGTAGTATTCAAAGAAGTTTTGACCACTAAGAAGGAATAGATAAAGTTCAAAATAGTCAAGAAACTGATCACATGATTTTCCTATTGGATGTTCATGGTGTTTTCTTATTTAAATTTTGATTGATCTGTGACATGTATGAGTTCAGCTCATAAGTATGGTGGTCTGATGAATATAAAGTGAGATCATTAGTAGTCAATGGTCTCTGTAATTAAATGGTGGATCAAAAATTGAATACAACAGTACTATTTCACGGCATTCATCACTATAGACAATTGACTTTTGTATAGCTCAGAGGTACACCCACTGAAAGTTACTATATATAATGGTTTGTTTTCTGTCATAAATTAAAGCATGGTAGTAATTTTTTTAAGTATTTAGGTAAAGAGAACTCAATGTTTTTTAAAGGGAACTGAAAGACGAATCTTTTAATTTTAAAAACAAAGTTATTGGCAATTATACAAAATCAGATATGAACTTCATCGATAAATGTTGGTCGAAAAAAAACTAATAATTTTTATGTCGGTTTATAAATATCTTTCACTTTTGATAATGAAAACACATAATTACACAGTGTTATAATCGAAAGAAAAAATCCAGACAGTATGAATTAAAGATAAGATGTTCTATAGACAATGAGATAATTTTCATAGAAAAATGAAAAGAAATGCATATTATTAATCGAAATGACAATGGCATGAACAACTCATCAATATGTGTCAACATAGAGAATATCTGACAAATTCCATAAAATGATTCAGGAATTTAAGATTACAATAGATAAATTAGAAGTAATGTTCATCCCTACTCGATTTGCTTGGCCCTAAGCTGACAAGATGACATATGTACATAAGTAAGAAGCGTAAATTTACAGTATTAGATAATATAAGAGATAACTTCACATATGACAACCACTCATTTCATAAAATCCATTTTTTTCGTTATATAAAATTTAGTTTTTAGATTTATAAAGAAAAAAAATTTTAGAATATGCTACGGTTGTGTAATGAAGTTCAATTTATACGATTAATCCTTTAACCCAGATTGGGTCATTGGTGACCCATTTGTCGAACGATCGCAGAAAATAAAGGAAACATGAGACTGAAAAACTCCTAAGACATTATTTGTAGGGAACTTCACAAGCTATCGATTGTTAAAATAAAATATTTTGTTTCATTGCTGTGCCTTCGAAATATACGACTTACAAAATCGATAATTTTTAAAAAAATCAAAAAAAAATTCGAAATTTTTTAAATACAATGTTGTCTACTTGCAGTTGATAGAGTTCTCTTGGAATTTCTGTATTATATCAATCGATGAAGAAGTCCACTGCTGCATTAGATATTTTTCGAAAGCTTCATGATAACTCTGCGAATTATACATACTAAGGAACACAATTCACTATGTAGTCACTCTTAGGCAGATGGAGAGTAATCAAGAACAAAGTTAATATATGCGTTATAAACATCAACTCATAAGGAGTCGAAATAATATTTATGATGAATTAAATTCCTTTAGACATTATAAAATGGCTTAGAGTAAAATAGGCTTAAATTTAACAATAGGCGTAAAAAAAGCATGTATTGCTTGGTGTTAATTTTGATCAGCTCACTCGTTGTGTTTTTTTCTATCAAGTCAACAATGCGAGATAAATATTGCTTCTGTCCAGTCAATGATGTGAATAAAGATAAAAAAATGAAGTCTTATGATGTCGTTCAATTGCCTTTTTCCATCACGCGATTTTTAGATCGATCAAACCACCATAGTCGAGGAATAGGACATCTGGTGAATTAGAGCACACCATTGGCTTATTCGAGGGGCTAATATTCTATTTATAAAGTTATTTTATCAGTGACTCTTCTGGAACTGCTATGGGAGTAAAGGGTTAAAAAAACGTTTTTTAATTATATATTGATAGGTATCATATTACTGAATGTCTATGAATGATATGTTGGAATAGAGAGTAGTAAATCGGTTTTTAGAGATGTTATGCTCGAAATTTCAATATATTAAAACAAACAAATTGCATTGAAAACGCTTTGATTTTTCATCATTCATTTTTTTTGTATCTTCTTCATGTTTGGAATACAACGTATGTTATGTATATGCATTTATAAAAATAACATAGAAATCAACGCAATTATGTACCATTAGCTAAAAGCATTCCAGATCAAAGAAATACATTCATAAATGATCGTAAATCATCATATATTGATTTATTCCATGGCTGGATATTACGATTATATAGGATTTCCGTCTTATTCAGTATCTTGTCCTACTACTCCTCGGTTGATTTTAATCCTTATGCATAGAAGCCTTTTTTTGTTATCTTACGCAGTCGCTTGTACCATTGTAGTCTTATGGTTGTCTATACCACAGATACCAAATGATTATTTGGTACCTAGTTACCATGCATTAATTATGTTACAGACAAATTTCTGTTTGTAGACCCTATCCTTTCAGTGAACGAAGAAGTTTTGAAAATCTTGAATATCGACTTGAAACAGGAAATGAAAGAAAAACATCAACAATTTTCAATCAACTTTTAACAAAGACCTAGGCATAAATCTTTTCGAATATCTACAGAGATCTACTACTAGTCTTTTTTCATAGTAATGATGATAGGTGATCCTGATTCGATAGTATTCATTAAGTAATAGTATACTAAACTACCACGAATAGAGAACGAAGTTCAACCAAATCTATGAAGGCAACTCACACTGCATTGATTAGCGAGTAGAATGTAGATTTATAGATTTTCGTGCGTATAAAATCAATTTTTCGAAGGTGAGAACGATAACGAAAACATACGCTCATACAATGAAAGTAAGACTTCATAGATTCTTATACGTTTGGCTATATCTTGGTATAGTGTGTAAAAAATTAATTTTATTTGTAAGAGTCAGTGCAGCAGTATCATGCAGCGAAATGTCAATCAATCTAATGAATGCTATTTAAGCCAACTCTTTTCTGTCAGTAATAATATATTATAAATTTATACCTCAGAAAAAAAAACATAGATAACAACAGAATGTAAACAACTGAATATGATACGATTGAAAAAACTTTTATTATTTATGGTATTTCCATTTTACTTAATTTTGTATTATGTAATACTTAAAAAAGATATATTACAAATATATACATATATCAATCAAATGTTCCATATGAATGTTCATTAGTTGTATCATTTATAAGACAATTTACATTATTTGGATTTATTATTTGATTTTGTTCCTTTTCAATACGTTTTCTTTCATCTTCATCACGTCTTTTATAAGTAAATCGAGTTATCACTACCATTATAATACAAGCAATCATAACAACTAATACAAGAAAATTGACTAATTTATCTCGATTTGGTGCAACAAAGAGAAAAACAAGTGCAACAACATTCATCCATTGAACAAGAATTGATGCTGATATAGATTCTGGTAATGGATACATTATTTCAGCAAGTGCTTCATATATTAATGGTGATGCAGCACCGGAAAAAAGACCAGCTAATGCAGTTGATAAACCAATAGTAAGAGCTGTTGATGAAAGAATATGTTTATCATAAAATAAACTATGAACACAAAGTTCAAACCAAATAATACTAAATAAACAAGCAATAAACGAAATAAGAATAAGTGTCTTTAATGAATGTTGAAAACGATTTGTATCAGCAAGATAACTTAAACAAAGACCACCAACAATTCCAGCCATTGATGAACCAAAACCAAACCAACCTTAAACATATAGATTATTATTTTTATTCTCGATATTCTTTTGTTTTTCTCTTTTTGATTTACCTGCTTGTTCTTCTGTATAATTTTCAGGTTCAAGAATAATATCATAAAGACCTGTCCATGCACTAAATGTTCCATACAGAAGACCTCCTGCTATTGAAAGAAATAAAAACGAAGGCGTTGTAAAACATTTCCAAATATCTCTTAAAAATGTTCGCCAATTATGATTATTTTCATTATTTGT